ACAGTTTTAGGATTTTATCCTGAGGAAATAACAACGGACCCACAAAAGTTTTTGACAATAGTGAAAATTAGAAACCACCTAAATATCCAATTATTTGAGATTGGCTAATTAAGTTACTGTCCATCTCTCTCTCTCTCTCTCTCTCTCTGTCTCTGAGAGGATATTATCAAGCCCTGAACGTGAGATGGAGGGGAAGCATTTCCGATGTTTTCTGCATCTGTGATAGTCACATGTCCTCTGAACCCTCATCAGCAGTGGGGTAAAAAGAGAAGAGAGATACAGACGTATTCCCGTCCTTCAGAGAAGGTGGTCCATGGAGGACCAGGAGGGCCAAGTGTAAGAAGAGTTAAGGGCAGGCTGGGTGACTTGGGGGTGAAGTCAGTTTTAGGGTTCCAGTAGAGTGATGTCTGTGGTGTCCTCCGAAGGGATTAGGAAGTCGTTGGGGGTGTGATGTGGAGGCAGAGTGGGCGGGGTTGCCTGTTTTGTCAGATATTTATTATTAAAAAAGAGACGTGCGCCTCTAAGGCCTGTAGGGTTAGAGAGGATTTTTTTTTTAAAGGAATAAGGCAGTTAAACATACTGGAAGGCAGAGAAAGAGGATGATGACCATGGCTAACATGTCTACAGGGCTTATTAGATGCCAGGCAAGTCCATTTCCCCGTGATTGCCTTTAAACCTTAACCCCAAGGTGAAGCTGTTTCTTCCCCAGGTTTTGAGATGAACCACGGATGTTTATGTTGTTGTTTTGCCCAATGTCACAGAGCTAGGAAGTGGCAGCACCATCACTTGCATTCTGACTCTGTGAATTAACCGCTATGAAGTAAGAGTAAAGCCAGGACTGCAGGAGCTAACGGGGCTGTTTGGTAGAGCCGTCTGGGGGAGTCAGGTGGAGATGATGGGGAGCTGCAGCCTGGAGTTAGAAATTCCAGAGGGAAGGAACCACGTGTGACTTGCCCTGTTCCTCCTCACGTATTCCGGGATGACACAGCTGATAAAACCCAGACAGGGGTAGTTTCTGCTTGGTACGTTTAATGACAGGACTGCCCTCTTCTTGGGCAGGTTCAGTCCCTGTTCTCAGGGCCTTACCCCTCTTGTCATCTTACAATTCAAACTCTGAGGCATCCAGGAATCGCTCCACTCTGGATGCCACTGTGCTATTTATTTGGTGTTAGAGCACTTGAGGATTAAACTGCATCTATAATGCCCCTAAGTGAAAGTTCATGGAAAAGCTGGGGCTGGGGGCCAGGATAAGGGAGCCTGTTTGCTACACTGCAGTAATTTGTACCCCACAGTCTATTTCTGTATAATAGGCAGCCATCAATCAACCACTCCCTCAATTTATTCATTTATCAGATATTTTCTGCTTGCCTAATCAGGGAGGGGGCTGTTCTAGTGCTAATGATATCAAGATTAAAAGACACACATCTCTGGGGGCAGGAGTGAGTGGTGATTGATCAGCAAGCAGGAAGGATTTAACATTCCTTTTTTTTTTTTTTTTTTTTGAGACAGAGTCGCACTCTATTACCCTGGGTAGATTACTGTGGTGTCATAGCTCACAGCAACTGCAAACTCTTAGGCTCAAGCAATCCTCTTGTCTCAGCCTCCTAAGTAGTTAGGACTGTAGGCACCTGCCACAAAGCCTGGCTAGTTTTTCTTTTTCTTTTTCTTTCCCTCCCATCCTCTCCCCTCCCTTCCCCTCCCTTTCCCTTCCCTGCTTTAGTATTTTTTTTTTAGTAGAGACAGGGTCTTGCTCTTGCTCAGTCTGGTCTTAAACTCCTGAGCTCAGGCAGTACACCTGCCTTGGCCTCCCGGAGTGCTAGGATTGTAGGTATGAGTCACCAAGCATGGCCAGATTCAACATTCTTAAGAACAGGAAGTGTTTGAGGTGTTCATATTTTCCTAAAGGGTTGAACAAATAAGCTTGAAGAGTACGTGGTCAGAAGCTGTACCCCAAATCCTACTGCCAGGATCAGTCTGGGAGAGAAAAAAAAGCATAGTTGTTGCCTGCACACAGGGCTATTGCCAGCACCACTGGCAGCAGTGGTCACCAGAACCTCCTGCCATGACCTCTTCTGTCTCTGGACCTGACATTCACTCTGAGCACCCCAGCACAGGCTCGGCTCAGCTTGGCTCCTTTGCATTGCTGGCTTTCAACTCAGAGTCTGCAGTGGGTGGTCTGGTTGGCAAGGCCTAGCTCACGTGCCAGTAGCTGACCTTACAGGAGTCTGGGGCAGGCGAGGAGTATCTGCATTTGTATCTGTTGTAGTAGACGTGGGCTTTGGTAGCAGCTGAAATGTTAGGTGTCTATAAAGATGATATGTGTCCATTACAGATCATGAAACGTGAGAGAATGTGCCAGTTCTGTGTCAGGAGAAAGTCTTAGGTCTCTGAGTTTCTCTATCGTTCCTCTATATCAGACTATTTAAAATAATTCTTTGAGACTTCAGCACTTTGCAGGATTCCTGGAAAATAGTATGGTCTCAGGAAATGTTTGTGGAAGGAATTCATAGATGCTTGTTGAGTATGTTCTTTCAACAAAAATATATTAGGCGTATGCTTTGTGTCAAACACTATGTTGAATGCCATTCACAGGGTCAGAATGATTTCTCTGATATTAAAGAAAGAAGTAACCAGGAATGAGGGCTAGACTGCCACACATCAGAGTAGGAGGATAGAATCTAGAGTGAAGAACCACTGCTTAGATAAGAAGTAGAGTGAACCTGTGCCTGCTGAGTGCAGAGTGGGCCAGCTGTACTTCAAGTCCTCCCCATTCTCATCTGGCTGGGGCATTTCTGGGCCATTGGCTTGCTTGTTTTTAGGGAGGTGATAGCACTTGCTGTTTTTTTCTCTAAGTCATTCTATTGTGTGTTCAAATTGTAGCAAACCATTAAATGTGCTATGTCTGCAAAGCTCTTAGAACAGTGTCTGCTATGTTGTAAGTGCTATATAACCACTTATTAAAAAATAGAGTAAAGAAGTATTCTTTTCTGGACAGCACCTGTGGCTCAGTGAGTAGGGTGCCAGCCCCATATACCTAGGATGGCAGGTTCAAACCCAGCCCCGGCCAAATTGCAACAAAAAAATACCCGGGGGTTGTGGGGGGCACCTATAGTCCCAGCTACTCAGGAGGCTGAGGCAAGAGAATAAGAGAATTGCTTAAGCCCAGGAGTTGGAGGTTGCTGTGAGCTGTGACACTACGGCACTCTACCAAGGGCAACAAAGTAAAATTCTGTCTCAAGAAAAAAAAAAGAAGTATTCTTTTCTGATGCTTCCACACAATAATACTTCAGGGATCCCACTTGGACTCACATTTAGCCAGATACCAGGTATAGCCTTTCACCTTTTGAGCTTTGGCCTTACGGCAGCAGCATCTACCTCGCAGGAGGTGCTTCTCATGGTCCAGACATTGTCACGGCACAGCGGCTCAGCACCTCTGCCCCTTACTGGGGGTGAGTCATAGGTGCCCCCCCACCCCAGGGAAAGTGGCCTGGTTGCTGAACCCAGCAGCTCCTCTCTATCTTGTAAACAGCTGAAGTTTCTAAAAAATATATTCACCCCGTCCTTTTCAGTTGTCTTTGTAAGAAGGGCTAGTCCAGTTTACCTCCTCTCACTACTGAAAATGGACCTTCTAGTTCATGGACTTCATGTTTAAATCATATCCTCATAAGAACCTGTGAAGGAAAGTAGTGAGGTTTTGTTCCTTACACACCTGAAGAAAATGAGGCGCAGAGAGTTTAAGTTTCCGTCACGGGTCATGGAGCTGAAAAGGAATGGAACCTGAATCTGAACCCAGGCAGCCAGGTTTCAGAGCTTGTCTTAGTCCGTTTGTGTGCTGCTGTAACGGAATGCCAAGGGCTGAGTTCATTTCTAAAGAACAAGAATGTTTTGGCTCACGGTTGTGGAGGCTGGGAAGTCTGAGGTCAAGGGGCCGGCATCTGGTGAGGACCTTCCGGCTGCGTCATCCCTGGGTGGAGGGTGAGAGAGTAGAATAAAACACCAAAGAGAGCTGAGCTCTCCTAAGGAGCCTCCTGTGGTGATGAACCCGCTCCAGAGATAAGGAACCCCTTCTTTGATAACGGCATTAATCTATTCACTCCCCCCTTATGGCCTAATCGCCTCTCATTAGGTCTTACCTCCCAACCTTGCTGCACTGGAGATAAGTTTCCAACTTGTTTTTGGGGGGGACAGATCAAAATTATAGCATTGCTTGTGTTCTTAACCTCTATGTCCCTTCATTTTCTTTATGTCATAAAGTAAGATAACTGGTTCATCTTTTAAATACATTCTTTTAAAAGGTCACAAAAACCCTGTACATGCCTCCCTTACAGTGTTAACTACAGCTTGGGAAAAGCCTCACCCTGTAGAATTTAACATCAATAGATACAGTATGTTCTGCATCTTTTTAAATGGGCACATAACATGGACAGGAATGTTATCAAATGATTAGTTTCCTATTTTATAGATTTAGATGTTCCTAGATTCATGAATATTTCAGTCTTGCAGAGAAAAAAATCCTTTGAATTTTGCCCAAATTATGTTGTTTTCTTGAACTTGGTAAAGGCACGCATGGATGAAAATAAACGTATCTAGTGATTGAATCATTTGAATGTCTGGTAAAATTTTTAAGTCTGTAATCGTCTATCCCCAAAATTGACATCAGTGAATGGGACTCAAAAAGCTTCATTAACATACTTGTTTGAGCCAAAAAGTCCATGGGATTATGCGAAAGCCGGACACTTTTGTGCACTGCAAATGACCCACACCCCTTTGGGTCAGCAAAGGCCTTCCATGACGCTCAGTGACACCAAGTACACACCACCCTTGCAAGGCACCGAAGCCAGAGATGCTTCCTCACTTCTGTTCCCTTTGGGCCAGATGTGTCTCTTCATCAGATGTAAACTAGTTTGGTTTTGTTATTTTTTCCTGAAGGAAAAGGCCTTTTTTGCCTTTGGTAAAATTAAAAGTCTAACATATATATTCCTTTTTTTTTTTTTTGACAGAGGAAAAGACAAGCATATGAATCTAACCTTATCTGTCATGGCCTGCAGCTGGAAGCAACAAGATCGGTAAGCACTGGTCCCTTTCCACCCCTTGGCTGACCACTTTTTTTAGGAACCTGTGTTCCACTTGGCCTACTGTGATGGCACTGGAAAGATGCACCCCAGTGATGTATGTACTATAGTCACATACTATAAGGAAAGTCAACCAAAACCTGATTAAAATGTATCAGGTCCAGGCACAGTGACTCATGCCTGTAATTCTAGCACTCTGGGAAGCCAAGGAGGGTGGATTGTTGAGCTCAGGAGTTCAAGGCCAGCCTGAGCAACGGCAAGACCCTGTCTTTAAAAAACAGTTGGGTGTTTTGGTGGGAACCTGTAGTCCCAGCTACTTGGGAGGCTAAGGCAAGAGGATCACTTGAGCCTCAGAGTTTGAGGTTGCTATGAGCTATGATATTACAGCACTCTCTCTACCCAGGGCAATGGAGTGAGAGTCTGTCTCAGAAAATAAATAAATAAATAAAATGTATTATTTTTTTCTGATTGAAGCTGGCAAATATTTTTTAGTAGCTAAGTAATTTTGTAATGAATGCATCTACGAATGCTTATTCTTTCTTTAAGAACCTTTTAAAGCCTATTTTTATTATGCAAATAGTAGTTTATGATAAAAATTAGAAAATATAAGAACAGGGAAAATAAAAATCACCTGCATCTTAATTACCTAGAAATAACCTTATATTCCTTCTAAACTTTTTTTCTTAAATGTAAATTACATTTTCCCTTTCAAAATGGGATTATCATTTTCCAGTTTTATAATTTGCTTTTTTCTTTTAATATATTGCAAATGTATTTCTTTATCAATAATTATAATTCATTGACATCATTCATAATGGCTATATAACAGGATATTGAACAGATATGCAATAAATTAATCAGTGCATTTTAGGCTTAGAAAATTAATTTTTTTATTAAGTTAGCACTACAGTGAATATTTCAGTATTTTTATGTGAAGTCACTAATTTGGATAGAGTGATGGGCAAATTAGCTAGTTTGCTTTTCTTGATTTGAAACATTAGTGTTATGAAAGAACTATGATAATTTGAATCACTTTATTAAAAATTGAACCAAGAAATTATGATGGTTTGCAGATTATGATTTAAACCAAAAATTTATGATGGTTTTCAAATCTCTTTTTATTATATCTCTTCTTTTGCTGGTGTAGAGTATGTGTGTGTGTTTCCTAAATACCAGCAACATAAAAATCTTACGTGTTTTAAAATTGGGAACGTAATTGGTTTCATGGTCTATGTTTTTTATTCTTTCAACATAGGTGTTGGATGACAAGCTCGTGTTTGTAAAAGTGCATGCACCGTGGGAGGTGTTATGTACATATGCTGAGATAATGCACATCAAATTGCCTCTGAAACCCAATGACCTGAAAACCCGCTCCTCAGCCTTTGGGAAACTCAACTGGTTTACCAAAGTCCTCAGTGTGGATGAAAGTATCATCAAGCCAGAACAAGAGTTTTTCACGGCCCCATTTGAGAAGAACCGGTTGAATGATTTTTACATTATTGATAGAGATTCCTTCTTCACTCCTGCCACCAGAAGCCGCATCGTAAGTCTAAACCAAATTTAGTTGCTATCTTGGAGTGATTTGGAAGCTGCTGTTGAATAATTAGTGGTTTGGTTAGTGTAGTTTTGTTTTTAAAAGCTGCAAAAAAGAGAAGAAATACCCCTATAGATTCCAGTGGTAGTAATGAACAACAATGGAACTGGTAGTTACACTCTATAAACCACACACTCTGGTTTGGAATCTTTTTAGGTTTACTTCATCCTCTCACGGGTCAAGTATCACGTGATGAACAATGTTACCAAGTTTGGGATTAACAGACTGGTCAACTCTGGGATCTACAAGGCAGCTTTCCCTCTCCACGATGTGAGTTAAATGGCAAAAATGAGACAAACATCTTAATACATACTCTGGTGTTGACAATAAAGAAAGGCTACCTATCTTGACCTTGAGTTTCTAACTTGGCAAAATGAAGATGAGATACTGAAGGACTACAAGCTCATTTAGGGCAAGAATCAGGTTGTTGTGTTCATGAATGGACCCTGGGAGTAGAGACAGAGCCCACTCTAAAGGAGTCTATTAATGAATGAACAGTGTCTCTTCTATGGTAAAGAGCAGTTCAGATTAGCAGTCAACCTGCGTTAGCATTTCTGGGGCCAAAATGCCTGCTCTGACTTTCTAGCTGGATGACTTTGTGGAGATTGCCTGACCTCTCTGTTCCTGAATTTCTTCATCTATAAAATGGGGATAATAATAGTACTTCCCTCATAGAGTCATTATAAAGATTAATTACATTAATCCATGTCAAATGTTAGTCCCTGGGATTTAATAAGTATTATGAGTAGGTGACTGTTTTCACAATTACTAAAAAATATTTTTATCAACTAGAAAAATCTTAGCTCTTTGCAAAAAAAAAAAAAAAAAAGTACCTATTAGACCTTCTCATTTACCACTTTCTGTAACGTAAGACTTTTCTCCCTCATTTAAAATACTGTTTTCAGACTACGCCCTGGAAGATCCCAGAGCTTTTTAAAAGACATCTGCCAAGGTGGTTGTCACAGTGGCAAGACCCCAGATTGTGGACATTCTTTTCAGGACTATAAGCTGAGGCTACAGCAACCCTTCAAATTTAAGGGTATTCCTCCAGCTGATAACATCACTTATGACATTTTAAAAATGTGACCGCCTTAGACCCTTAATGATTCCATAAATGCAGGGACATTTTCTCTAAAACTATTTAAATAAATTCTGTCATGGAAATAAATACTACATTTTGTTGCATTGTTACTTTAGCACATCACTATCAATTGATCTGATTCTCTAAAACCAAGGAAAGCAGAGACTGAGATTGATAATTGCTTGAGTAGTATTATTTGTGGGTGAAGACAGTATCGAAATGTACTTTGTCAGGTAATAAAACTGGGGCACCGAACAGCTACTTGGTGCATATGTATATGCAGAAAATAGGGAGCCGGGTGGAGAAGCAGATACTAAGCTCTGGCCTGACAGTCTGTGAGTTTTTTGTTTGTGCCCCAGAAAAAAATTGCAATTATAGCATGACATGAACTTTGGGGATACTTGCAGATAGCAGTCATGAATATTTATAGTAGTCAATTGACATTTGTCCATGCCCAGGTCTTTTCTACTAAAGCCTCTTCTAATTGCAGTAGTCCCAGATCAGGCTAAAGAATGATCCTGTATGGTGTTTGGAAGGGACGTGGGTGGAGGTCAGGGCCTCTGCTAAGGTTTGACTGGGTATTAATCTGGTGCTTGTACAGGAAGGAGGAAAATAGGAAGGAAACAGGGCAATTGAATTTAAACAGAAGCAGGAGGTTTTATTTCTTGAATAAGCTAAGTGTGTAACATGATTTGAAGCTTCTTTGTTTATTTTCTGCATGTTGTCACAGAATACCTGCCAGCTAGGGGCAGAGAAGGCTGGGTTTCAGAATCGGCCATTTTGCTAACCAGCAAGGGCCCTGATTCCCCTGGTGTGCAGGGAGAGGGGTCGGGTATGAGGTGTTCCTCTCGGGTGGTGAGTTTGGCACTTGGGGAGCCTAATTTTTCATTGTTCAGGACTTACCCAGTTGAAGGATATGAAGCCTCTCTGGGGTTCCTACCAGGTACCTGCAGTACTCCCCAGGATTCTAATATCCAAGTATTCATCCCCACTCACATTCACAAGTGATGCCCAAGGGAGGTAGTGACAACCTGGCTGAGAATCACTAAAATAAGATGATACTTCCATCCCGTCCAGCAAGCACAGGCCCCTAATTCACAAATGACTATCAGGTATTAGTAGCACATTTAATAAGCAGACTTATGAAAACATGACTGTCATGCTCACTTTTTTCCTTCTGCTTCCCAGTGCAAATTCCGCCATCGATCAGAAGATCCCAGCTGCCCCAATGAACGGCACCTTCTGTACAGGGAATGGGCTCATCCTCGGAGCATATACAAAAAGCAGCCCTTGGATCTCATCAGGTAAGTTGTTATAAAGGGAACTCCAATGGAAAGCATTGGGGGTCACCTGCATGGCATCTAAGTGTGACAGTACTCAAAGACTGTGGCCGCTCAGGATGCCCACGCAGAGCACTGAGCTTCATTGTTCAGAGTTATCACTGCACATGTGGCTCAAAGCTCTAGGTCTCTAATCCCCAGGGGGCTCTTCCTGGCATGGCCAGCCCCCATCTTGAGTCATGTCCTCAACACAGCCTGGCGAGGTGTCCACCACAAGTCACCAGAAAAATACTATTAATCAGAAAAATATTAGCCCTTTGCAAAAAAAAAAAAAAAAAAAAAATACCTATTAGACCTTCTCATTTACCATTTTCTATCAGGTGGAGTCCACTGTGAATAAAAAGGCACTCCTGTCTCTCAGGAGATTCCCAGGGTTCAGAGGTTACCTCCCAGGATGTAGGAACAAAAATCCAGCCAATTCTTTGTTTTACAGAAGCAAACATTAGGTGTAGGTTACTTTGTGTGGTAAGACATATACGATTCACCTTTTGCCTGTTTCTGCTACTATTATTTCACCTTTTCACTGTTTCTAACAAGATTAACATAGGCTAGCTCAGGGTTTGTCTTCTCATAGTGCCAACGACAGCGGCCCTCCAGAAGCTCATGTTGTTTGGGCAATGCTGGGGGCACTGGCTACTTGCAAGAGAGAGACTGAGAACAATCAAACAAAAATATGTTACTAAACACAAACACAAAATTTCTGATTGAAATGAAGAACATAAAGTGAAACAAAGGAGGGCAGAGTGGGGAAGTGAGTTGTGAAAGTTCTCTCTGAGTAGGTGATGTTTGAGCTCAGACCGGAAGGGATCTGGTACTGTGAGGACTTGGAAGATGTCATTCCAGGAATAGGGGTGGCCTGTGCAATGGCCCTGAGGCACGAAGACACCTGGTAAGTTTGAGCCACAGACCAGTGCTAAGGAGAAAAAGAAGTTACAGGGCCACATGGGGCGCAAAAAGTTGGTCAGGCTTTAAGAGCACTGAGAAGCAGTTGTAATGTTTTAAGCACGTAAGTAATTTTCTTTTGTTGGAGAGTGTTTATAGGGGGCACAGGAAGACCAGATAGGAGGCTATTCTCTCCTTTCTGTGATGATAATGGGCCAGGCCAGAGAGTGTGTGAGCAGATTTGGACTGTACTTTTGGAATAGAGGTGACAGGACTTGGTCATGTATTAGATATGGAAGGTGAGGAGAAAGCAGAGTCAGGTGATGGCCCAGGTCTGCCTGGAGCCAGGTTACTGTTCTTTCTGTGGTGTCTGAAAGCCTCATGCAGGTGCCCACCTTCAGAACTGACCTCAGAACTCTCAAAATGGAGAGTTTTAAAAGGTACGGATAGTTAGTTTTATTTCACATGTATTATGGAAAATTTCAGGTATGTATGATAGCAGAAAGAATAGTATAGCAAGCCCACATTCATCTGCTACCCAGTCCTACAATCGTGAACTTATAGCCAGGCTTGTTTCATTTCATTCTTTGCTTTTCCCTCTCCGCCACGCATCATTCTCAAATCCCAAATCCCATTTTATCAGCATCTGTTTCTAAAGTGACAAGATCCCCTCTAAATATGACCAGAATACCCTTTTTTAAAACGCAACACTTCCTTAATGTCATCAAATAATCAATGCTCAGATTTTCCTGATAGATTGTCCAAAAAACAGAAAAAACAAAAACACTTCGTTGTTTTTTGGTTCAAATCAGGATTCAAACAAGGTCCGATGTTAGAGTTAGTGCAGTCTCTCAGATTTCCTCCAGTCTGTCTCACTGTTTCTTGTTTTCCTTGTTATTGTTGCAAGAATTCTTTGCATTCTCTATTTTGCAGATTTTATTCTCTCCTGCAGTGAGAGAGGAGTTATATTTGCCTTAGCTAAGGAATACTTTTATTATATGTTGGCGTAAGTAAGGTGATCCTCCCGTAGAAGCTTGATCTGATTGAAGTTTGATTTTTGTATAAGAATACTTGATATGAGGTGCTACTGTCAGAAAGTACACACTGTCCAGTTGTTTCTCTCTTTTTTGTGATGATAACAGCCATTAACGATCATTGCTTAGACTCATTTTTTTCCATAAAGGATTTTATTTCATTTGGTCATACTCTTTATTCCCTCTGTCTTTATTTTTATTAGCTGGGTTATAGTCATGAAGAGGCATTTTCATTAACTCTGCCTACCCTACAGGATAAGATTTTAAAAGAGGATGTTTGTTCATATGTAAATATTTGAGGTTGACATTATTGTGAAGTTTTCATTTTATTTAATTTCCTTTTATATTAAACCCACAACATCTGATGGCAGGGTGATGGATTTGATGGGTTCTTAATCATTCCTTATGTGTTTTTTCTGCCTTTGGTAGAGAAAAAAATTTCTCCACTATTTTAAATGTATTTTGCTAAGGGAAATATGTTTAACTATCCCCTGTCCCTGGTCCACATTTCCTGCCCTTTATGGCTTCCACTCGTAACCCCTTGAACATTAAGCCTTCATCTGTGGTTCCCAGGGATTATCAAAAGAGAAAACAAGCTCTTTACCAAAAACCAAACAAACAAGAAACAGTAGCCAGAAGAAAACAGACTTTGACCAGGAAAAAAAGAAATGTTTTCTCCCCAAACTCCCATTTTTATCCTCAGCGCGATAAAAAAAGATACAGTATCTATAAGACAAGGCAGGAATCCATTAAAAAGTATCATCGAGAGAATAAAATGTAACTCTTAGAAATTGATAATGTGATCAAACAGAAAAACGTTACCACAAAATGTTAGAAAATGAAATTCAAGAAATTATGCAACGTCTAGAGCAAAAATTATAAAGACAGAGAAGTTAAAAGGCAGAAAATAATTAAAATTAGAAGATCAGCCTAGGATGTGCAAATAATAGAGGCGTCAAAAGTCAGAACAGAGAAAATGGAGGGAAGAAATTAGAGAACTTCCAGAGAAGTATCTGAAGAACTGAGTGGCACAAGTCTCGAGAGGGAAAGAGCCCGCTGAGGACTCTACCCGGGTGACTAAAAGAGAAGCCACCCTGTCACTGTAATATGACATCTCGGAAGTCTGGAGACAAAGGGAAGATCCTTTGAGCCTCCCGGAAGCCAAATGGAAAGAAAATCACACAAAGGATGGAGACTCAGAATAGTGTCCTACTTCTCAACAACAATACTGCAGGCTAGAAGAGAACGATCATTTCCACTCTCTGAGGGAAGTGACTTTTCCACTTACGTTTCAGTGTATGGCCAGACTGTCAAGTGTGAGGAGTTGTCAGTTTAGATGTGTAAGGTAATGGGGGAGGTGCTCCACCGCGAAGGAGGAGGAGGTGAGATTTACCCAGCAGGGAATCCCAACGCAAGAGAGAAGGGGAGACCCGGGGCTGTGGCTCATGGTGCCCGGCTCACCCTTGTAATCCTAGCACTCTGGGAGGCTAAGGAGGGTGGATTGCATGAGCTCAGGAGTTCAAGACCAGCCTGAGCAAGAGCGATACCCTGTTGCAACTAAAATAGAAAAGCCTGGCCGAGCATTATGGCTTGTAGTCCCAGCCACTCAGGAGGCTGAGGCAAGAGAATCGCTTGAGCCCAAGAGTTTGAGGTTGCTGTGAGGTATGGACACCATAGGACTCTACCTGGGGTGACTAAGTGAGACTCTGTTTCAAAAAAGCAAAAGAAAAAGGGGAGAAGGGTTGGAGAAAGGCAGAGAGATCCCAGGTGACAGCTCTGTGGCAGAGCTGGAGAGTCATTGATCCAGGTTGGAGGAGGTCTAAAGGGATTTATTCAAAGAGTGAAATTGATAGACTGTCTTGTGGTCTGAGAATACTGAGAAAGTTAGATGTCAGGGGAGAGTCCAGATTGAATTGCTGATAGGTACGCAGAAAACGAAGCAGTGAACCATCAAGACAATTATTAACTCCAGGGAAAACAAAATATCACTCAGGAAGGAAAAAGTAATCATGGCAGATGACTTGAATCGGCTGTCACAATAATGTAAAGCAAGTATATTGATCTAACCAAAAATTACAATGTAACTGTCAAGAGGATAGGAATAGAGATGTAGACGTACAGGTGAGGCAGGGAGTCGAAAGGGAGATTTTACTCCTCATCTTCCAGAGTAGAAAGTCAATAGAAAACTGAAAAATCAATAAGCAGCACTTCACGCAAACTATTTAGAGATATGGGAGTGTAAATATTCAAAGAATCAGCTACAAGAGTTGAAAAGTGGCTGCTTCTGGGCAGCAGGAAATAAGGGAGGAATTTGGGAACTGCTCTCTTTTATAATTGGCCTTCTAGAGTTATTTGACTGTTTAATGGCTGTATACTTACAACTTCGATAAGAAATCAAAGCGGACTTTAAAAAAAAATTAGCGTTTGAAATGTTAAGAGTTGGGATAGTTTTGACAGAGAGAACCAGTGACCAGAAATACCACATTTGAATGTATCCTTGTTATTCCTAAGAACTAAGTGACAAGTTTCCATTTAAGGCTTGAATTTTTTCCGGGCCTTGTCTGCATTCGAAGGAGGATGCCTGAGGAAGTAGGGAACTCCCTGTCGCTGTAAATATCTGAGCAGACTACCTGACCAGCTCTCTCAAGTGCAGCAGGCTATTTTTACTATTGGGAGGTTGGACTAGGCAACAGCTAAGAGTCTTTCCAATTTTAAATATGGCATTTCCAGATTGAATGACTGAGAAGAACATATTCCAGAAAGCATAACAGAAAAAAGGCCAAGACGTCTCAAACCGATCGCCAAGATTTTTTTCTCCCAAGCTCTATCCTGAGTCTGCCATTTACCTGCCATCAGTAAGCCAGATAACAAAGCCCCAGTCGTGAGAAAATGAGCACACTTTTTCCCTCCCCCCTCCCCTCTCTGTCCTTCCTTTTCCCTGCGGATGTGGCCTCTGCCCAGGCCTGTGATCTATGGAGCTAGTCCTGCCCGGGCTGTTGCTGTTGGAAGTCTCCCAGGACCCCAGGTTGTACTCAGAACTGAGTCCCCACTAGGCTAAGCCCAAGGAATTAGGCCCAGCTCCGGACTGAGCCTCAGGTCATGTATAAGCCTCACGATTGAGTATGTCTTCTGCAGGTTCCACAGATGAAGACTGGGGCAGAAAGAAATCAGTTTGGGAAAATAAGAAGCGCTAGATAGAATGGATAGAGAGTCATGGCTTCCTCAATTATAATCTGTCTTGCATTCTCATAATGAGTTTTGCAAAAACCGTGGTCAGAGAGACATTCCACCACAGATTATTATTATTACTTTTTTTTTCCAACCATTTACATTATGGTTGACCCAACTTGAACAACACAAGGATTTTAAAAACTCATACACGTATAACTCTTAACTCCTGAAAAACTCCTACTAATCAGCCTACCATTGACTAGAAGTTCTGCCAACAACAGTTATTAACACACGTTTTGTTAAATTATGTGTATTATATGCTGTATTCTTACAGTGACATAAGCTAGGGAAAAGAAAATGCTATTAAGAAAACAATAAGGAAGAGAAAATATAGTAGAAGCTCTAGTAAGTTGACCACCCAAGGGACTGTGACAAACTGATCAACACACAAAGGATCACAGTCTCACTGTACTGATACAAATATGTGGTGCATGTCCAGTCTGTGAAATGTAGGTCAACTTAAAGAGGTGGTCAGTGTAGGGAGATGGTGAACTATGGAGGTCCCACTACGTGTGCTCTTCCCTAAGTGGAAGTGGATCATTTCGAAGGTCTCCATTCGTACTGTCTTCATGTAGAACAGCTGGAGGAAGAGGAAGAGTTGGTCATGCTGTCTTGTAGGGGGGAGGAGGTTGAAGGGAGGCAGGGGAGAATGGCACACTCGGTGTAACTTTTACAGAAAATAATCTGTGTATAAAACAGACCATGCAGTTCAAACCCATGTTGTTCAAGGGTTAAATGCATATTTTATGTTGTGTTTTTTCCAAAGAAGCTCCCTGGTAGGTAACTTTGGCCAGATTGTTCATTTGTTTTATGCATATTAAGACCAATCCTTTATCGAATGTGTGAAATAGTGCTTGCTATCTCTGTAAAGAGTGATAGTAATACTGTTTGCCCCATTTTCAGAATTTCCTGTCCCTTGCTCTGTTTAAGTACACTCTGCTTCAACAGGCAAGCCAGTGGTGGTGATCAGGACTTCTACGATGCGTAATATATTTTTTATTTCTTCATAGAATTCAAGGTCTGCTATGAATATGGATAATGTCTAAGGGTGAATTGAGTCAGAGGTTTCAGCCAAAGCCTTCTTTATTTAAAATCAGAAGTTAATAGTAGGCTGAAAGTGCAGAGTGATTATTTATATCTTTTAAAAATAATTTCTGTCTTTAGAAAATATTACGGGGAAAAGATCGGGATCTACTTCGCGTGGCTGGGCTATTACACACAGATGCTCCTGCTGGCAGCCATCGTGGGCGTGGCCTGCTTTCTCTACGGATATCTGAATCAGGACAACTGTACCTGGAGGTAAGCCCTGTTTATTCCTGTTGCCATGGTGAAAAGTTGATTAGACATAAAATTATTTTCATGGTCTTAAACCGTTTTAGTAAAAGAAGACTCCTCACAGAACACTCATTGCTTTGGATGATACTTCCCTTTTGTTCTGAGCATAATAACTAAGTGAAATGGAAAAATTTTTTTCTTAGATAATCCAACCCAGTCTCTGACAGGAATATTACCCTTAGGAAACACTCCAATATTTTAAGACAATGTTTTGTTTGAAAAAGAAAGGAAGACAGGAGGGAGGATTGTCCTTGAACTTTTGGCCCCCAGAGGAATGTTCACTCAGCCCTGCAGATGTGGGCCAAGAGCAGCTCTGATTTCTTTGGGTTTTAAAGAGAAAACAGGTAAAACTGGTAGATTTTTTTTTCTTTTTTTGCTTTTAGAAATGATTTCTTTATACTTATAAAGAAATGCGTGCTTAAAAATTCAAGTAGACAATGATTGGTTTGGTTTTTAATTAGCCTGACAATGCTAAGGAAAAAAAATAACAGAATTACTTTGTGCTTGATGTTGAAATTTAAACACCAGCTGCACTGTCTAAAGGGACCTGCGTGGGTGCCAGAGCACTCTGAATTTCACCATCACTGTCTGAATTGTGTTATTATTCCTCTGCTTTTGGTGGTCTCAACCTCCAGAAGGGGTGCAGCTCTGAACCAGGCATTTCCTCTTGATCATCTGGCCCCTTTCCAGGTCTGACAGCCAGATCAGAATTTCTGGGCACCGGCGCTGAGCTGATGACCAAATTTTTCAAGCCCCAAGCATATTAGCCTGCTCCCAAGGTAGGGCGCTTACATGGCAGCCCTGATATAAGGACATAATTATCCATTCTATGCATTTAACAGAGGACTCCGAGCATTTTGTGCCCATTATGGCTTCTTGGCTAGAAAGCTGCAGATGGTTTTTGAAGTACTCTCCCCTCTTCACTGACAGAAGAGTTTTGGCCAAAGGCTAAATGTTGGTGCCTGTCCCCTTGATTTGTCTTTGGCTTCTCCATTGTTTTGTATATTGTTCCACCCCCCCAAAAAATCTCAAAAATACAGTTTCACGGTGCAGAAGCTGTATTTTTGAAACTCCTGTGGTTCTCGTTGTAACTCATTTTATGAAATCCTCATAACAGTCTCCTCCTATTTCCTACCATTTCACACAGATTAACGTATGGAAAACTGAAGGAAGGTCTTGGAGGCACACCCCCTGTGCTTAAAACTCTTTAGCTTCAATTATTTAATCACTAAATACCTTTAAAATGTTTGGAGTCTTACGTAAATCTTAAATAAATATGTCCAGCTAGTTTTATTACATATTAATGTAGATAGAGTCTCAAGAATAGAAAATGTGTTTAAGGAATAAGGGTTAATGATCCATCACCCAATGTAAGAACAAGAACATTACTGTTACCTTCCAAGTAACAGTACTTTGCCTGATTGCATCTCCTCCATTGTGAAATAACAACAGGACTAAATTTTGTGTTTATCATTTCTTTACACATAGTGTATTTTTAATTACATATATTTATAGCCCAACAAAGTATATTTAGTTTTGTGTGTTTTTGAAAATTAGGTATATATAAGTGGAAGATGTGACAGGTATTTTTTCTATAAAATGCCTGTTTAAAGTATTTGCCCCTCTTTTTAAATAATAGCTTTATTGAAGTATGATTTATGTACAATAGCACACATCCCTTTAAAGTGTACAATTCAGTTACTTTACGTACATTCACAGAGTTCTGCAGCCAGCACTGCCTCCTAATTCTAGAACACATCCATTGCCCCTTAAAGAAACAATGCCCATTAGGGGTTATTTTCTAACCTTTCTTTCTCTTATCTCCTGGCAACCACTAATCTATTTTCTGTTTCTATGGATTTGCCGATTCTGGACATTTCATAAAAGTGGAAATACATAGCATGAAGCCTTTTATGCCTGTCTTCTTTCAGTTAGCACATTGTTTTCAGGGCTCATCCTTGCTATAGCATGTTATCAGTTCTCCTCTTCCCTTTATGGCCATGTGTATACACCACAGTGTTCACTCAGTCATCAGTTGATAGACATTTAGGTTGACCATTGTGAATAATTCTGCTATGAACATTCATAGATGGGTTTTTGTGGGCACAGATGGTTTCAAATCTCTTAACAAAGACTGGAATTGCTAGGATATATGGTAACTCTAGGTTTAACATTTTGAGGAACTGCCAAAGTATTTTCTAAATGGGCTACAACATTTTTCATGCCCACCAATAATGTATGAGGATTTCAATACATCGTTGACACTTCCTTTTTTTTTCAATATTAACCATTCTAGTTGGTGTGAGGTGGTACGTCATTGCAGTTTTGATTTTTATTTCCCTAATGCCTAATAATATTGAACATCTTTTTATGTGTTTGTCATTCGTAGAGATTCTTTGGAGAAGAATCTGTCCAGATCCTTTGCTTATTATGTTGTCTCTTTATTGCTATTAAGTGTTCTTTATATATTTGTGATAGAAGTCCCTTATTGGATTTTGTCGTAGTTCATTTGTGCTATGACAGAATACCACAGATAAGGTAAATTGTAAAAAGCAGAAATTTATTCTTCACATATAGGGAGACTAGAAGTTCAAGACATGTGTCTTTATATGGCAGAAGGTCAAGAGGGACACACTCCCTCTTTCAACCCCTTTTTATAAGGGCACTTAATCTTATTCATAAGCAAAGAACTCTCATGACCTAATTACCTTTTAAAGCAGGTGTCCTCAAACTACGACAGCCCACCTAGGACATTTATCTGGCCCTCTGGGTGTTTTTGCTGCAGCTGCCTGTCCTGCTTAGCAGCCGACTTGTCCTGGGGCCGCAGTCCGGCCCTCCAGTGGTCTGAGGGACAGTGAACTGGCCCTCTGTTTAAAAAGTTTGAGGACCTTGTTTTAAAGGCTCCACCTCTTAATACTTTCACACTGGCAACACCTACATTTTGGTGGAGGCACATTTAAAGCATAGCAGATGTGTTAAAAATATTTTCTCCCATTTTTGGATGGTTTTCTTCCCTTTGTTTATGATACCTTTTGAAACAAAGTAATTTTTAATTTTGATGATACTCAATTTACTTATTTTCTTTTGTGCTTTGGTGTCCTATCTAAAAATACAATTCATGATCCAAAGTCATGAAGATTTCTTCAGTGTTTATCTTCTAAGGGTTTTATGATTTGGAGTCTATGATTTATTTTGAGTTAACTTTTGTAAATAATATGAGGTAGGGGCCAAACACTGCCATTTCCCATGTGTGAATATATACTGTGTACTCACCATTTTGAAAAGGCTGTCTTTGGCTGTGAATTGTTGTAGTACCCTCATTGAAAATCAGTTGGCCATAGTGTAAGAGTTTGTTTACAGACTCTCAATTCTTATCCATTTATTTGCATATCTATTAACTTCATGCTAGTAGCATACTATATTGATCACTGTAGCTTTGTAGTAAGTTTAGAAACCAGAAACTCGTTCTTTTTTGAGATTGTTTTAGCTATTTTGGGTCCTTTGCATTTCCATATAAATTTTAGATTATTTCTGCAAAAAGATCGAGCTGGGATTTTGATAGGAATTGTGTCAACTCCAAAGATCAGTTTGGAGAGTGTTGCCATCCTAACAGAATTAGTTCTTCTAATCAAGAACATAGGTTGTCTTTCCATTCAGTTAGGTCTTCTTAAATTTCTATCAATATTTTGTAGTTTTTAGTGTTTAAGTCTCATACTTTTTAAGTTTATTCTAAGTATTCTTTTTAATGCTATTATGAATAATACTGTTTCCTTAATTTTTGAATTATTTATTGCTAGTGTATAGAAATACAATTCCTTTCTGTATATTGATTTTTTTGGTACTACAAACTGGCTGAACTGGTTTATTTGCTCTAATTGGTTTGGGGGGGGGGTTGTTTTGTTTTGTTTTTTGTAGATTCCTTAAGATTTTCATGTACAATGTCATACCATCTGTAAATAGAAATAGTTTTACTTCCTCGCTCACAGTCTGGAGGCCTTTTATTTATTTTTCTTGCTTAGTTGTCCTGGATAGAACCTCTAGTACAGCGGTTCTCAACCTGTGAGTCAATGAAATACATTGCGGCATTAGGAAGATTGAGATCCACTGCTCTGGTACGATGTTGCTCTTATAAGGAAAGCATTTAATCTCTCACCAGTAAATATGATGGGGTCAGGCAGGGAGAGTTTCTTCTGTTCTTAGTTACTGAGAATTTTTATTACAAAAGGGTGTTGGATTCATCCATCTACTGACTTTTTACCCTGTGTGTGATTTTTGTCCATTTCCGTGATTGTACTTTGCTTCTCTAGAATTTCTAATTGGTTCTTTTTGGTAATTTCTATCTCTTTATTGACACTCTTCAGATTGTGGGACATTATTCACATACTATTCTTTCATTCTTTGGATATAGTTTCCTTTAGTTCACAGAATATGTATAATTGTTCATTTAAAGCCTTTATCTAGTAGGTGGAATTTCTGGGTGTCTCAGGAAGAGTTTTTATTGATTGCTTCTTTTCTCCCATATGAGGGCCTTACTTGTCTATTCCTCGCTGCGTCTGGCGATCGTATGTTGATAAATGGGCATTGTAAATATTTATTATAATTTCGCCTGTCTGGAAATCAATCCCACCCCCTTTCGGGGTTTCCCGTTCTGTATTTATTGTTGTCCCTGCTGCTGCTGCTGCTGTAGCTCCTCTCTGTTCACTAACTTTCCTGAACTGATTCTGTGGAGTCTGTTTTCTTTGTCATGTGTGGCCTGGCCACTGAAGTCCTGTTGAGTCGTTTTGGTTGTTAGCTGATGATTGAATTAGCTAGTGATTTCATTTAATGCTTTTCTTTTCTCTGCCTTTGCCAGGGGCTCTGTGTTGAGGAGTGTATTAACACGCAGCAGCCAGTTCTCAGCTCCTTCTTAGCCTGTTCTTCTCGCTTATACAAAATCTCAAGGTCAGTGAGACGTGAGGCGTGAAGGTTTCCTCAGGTCTTCTTACACATGGCCTTCTACAATCTCAGGAATGTGCTGGGGCTTTTTAAAACCTCCATGGACATCTCGTTTCTTAATTTTTTTCTTTTAAGTCTTTCAGTTAACCTCTTGTTAACCTCTACTGGTATCTCTGCCTTAGGCAGCTACAATATTAATTCCTGCCAGTTACTTTCGTCAGATGCTTTGGTGCTAGGGCTGTTTGCAAAGTATAAGCTCTGAGTGTGAGGTTAAAAAATGACAGATCCTGAGCATGAAGCATGGAGCTCTTCCAGGGAGCTAGACAGTTCCTTAATGTTGCCTTCTAATGCCATTCCCACTCCTAAAACATCTTGATTGTATCAGTCTTTTTCTTTTTGGTTTATGCTTTTTAGTTTCATCTTTATGAAATGTCTTCTTGCTCTGAGGTTATTCAGATATTTCTTCTTCTAGTAAGTTGGCACTGTCATTTGCCACCTGGCATTGATTTGTGTCCTATATGCTTACGGGTTCAATTTTGTGTTTTTTCACATAGGCAGGTCGCCTGTTATATCAGCCTCATTTATTTGAAATTCTCACCTTACTAATTTGCTTGGCCAGCTCTGTCATTAAGTCTATTTTTGTATAGTCAGAGGTCTATTTCTGAGCTCTTTATTTTGTTAGTTTTTTTCTTTCTTTTTTTTTTTTCTTTTAGAGACAGAGTCTCACTTTGTTGCCCTCGGTAGAGCGCTATGGCATCACAGCTCACAGCAACCTCCAGTTCTTGGGCTTAGGTGATTCTCTTGCCTCAGCCTCCCTAGTAGCTGGGACTACAGGCGCCTGCCACAACGCCTGGCTATTTTTTTTGTTTGTTTCTTTGCAGTTTGGCTGGGGGGGGGGGTTGAACCCACCACCCTTGGTGTATATATAGGGCTGGTGCTTTACTCACTGGGCCACAGGTGCCGCCCTAGTGAGTTTTTCTTAACCTGTTCCCTAACCTTGTTCTTCAGAAGTGTGTTGACTATTCTGAGCCTTTGTTCTTCCATTAAATTTATAACTCAAATGGGAGAGAACTGACATCTGTAAATAATGGTTTTTCTAAATTATGAGCCTGATAATGCAGATCTTATTTTCTTATTTACTGTCTTTCAGAAAAGTTCTATAACTTAACATATCTTAAACTAGACATATTCCTAGAAGTGTTATTTTTAACCTATTGGAAATAGTATTTTAAAAAATTATTTCCTAATTGTTACAAGCATTTGGTAACATAATTCCTTTTCGTGACCCTGTGTATGTTTTATATATTGATTTTATGTTCAGCAAACTTTACTAAATTCATTCATTCTAATAATTTATCTTTAGGTTCTATTGAATCATCTAAACAATCACATAATCTGCCAGAAATAACAATTTTCTTTCTTCTTAGTACATGGCTTTATTTTTCTTACTATGTTGGCTGGGACCTCCAACTAAAAAGAAGTGGTGCTTGCAGGACCCTTTGTCTCATTCCTTATGGAAATATTTTTTTTCTTTTTTTTTTTTTTTTTTGAGACAGAGTCTCACTGTGTTGCCCTTAGGAGAGTGCTGTGGCATCACAGCTCACAGCAACCTCAAACTCTTGGGCTCAAGCGATTCTCTTGCCTCAGCCTCCCAAGTCTAAGGGAAATATCTTCAACAATTTATCATTAATTATGACTTTTTAAGGTTTTATGTAGCAAGCCTTTCCTGGGTTAATGAAGTTCGCTTATATTCCAAGTATCATGAGAGTATAATTTAGTTTTTTTTTCCTTATCATGCATAGATAATAGATTTTATCACATTGCTTTAAATTATAACTTTTTAAAATTAAGTTTTATTTCTTCTTTAGCAAAGAAGTTTGTAATCCTGATATTGGTGGCCAGATTATAATGTGTCCTCAGTGTGATCGACTGTGTCCATTCTGGAAACTCAATATTACTTGCGAGTCCTCAAAGGTAGTTTTTGTTATTCCAAATAGTTACACATAATAAAAAAGTTTTTCTTCTAATAACTAAGGTATGGCATAGAAATTGTATCTTATTTCCTCTGAGAAATTCAGACAGGTTATCTTTCAACTAAACTTCTGAACTTTCTAGATGATGGTTATACAATGAATGTGTTTATTCCTCAATTCAATATTTCCTCAATAATAATGAATTGAGATTCAAAGCCTTATTTAAAATCTCATGGTGGGTCAGTGAGAAAATGGTAGACTTGAAACTTTTTTTCAAGTAATCAAAGCAGAAATCTCAAGTTTGACTTAAAATACTAGTTTAACTTATAAATACTTCTTAATAGATGTACTGTTACAGGTTGAGTATTCCTCGTCTGAAATGCTTGGGACCAGAAGTGTTTTAGATTTCTAAACATAATAATGGTTATACTTACCAGCAGTGCATTCCTCATCCGAAAGTTCAAGTCCAAAATGCTCCCACAAACATTTCCTTTAAACGTAATGTTGATGCTCAAACACTTCTGGATAATTTGGGAGCATTTCAGATTTCAAATTTGGGGGTTACAGATGCTCAACCTGGATAAGCATTTTCCTTAATTCAACCTAGAAACCTGGAATTTGTACGTGTGTCTTTCCTCTTTCTAAGTGTGCTGCAAGTGCTTGGATTTTTAAAGTCCGTGCTGGTCAGATTTAGACTATGTAAATATGCATAAGAGAGATTCTGCACTTAAGTGATAAAAGGTATTTGTCTCAAAACATTCCCACCAACACATCTGGCTCTCCTGATACAAACAGATGGTCTTCAGCTCTATGACTTCTTAAAATCCAGGTTCGGAATAAGCATTGAAAAGGAAGGGAGTGTACGTAAAGCTGCCAGAAACTCTAATGAGCCAGAAAGATGGTAGGCTCACTTCAGAGCGTTTTCCTGACGATCAGACACACTCTTCCCTTTTATTATGATTCTCAGTTTAGGAGTTGTTATACGGCCCTACCACATTCGGATCTGCTGGGTGTAAATCTGATTTTAACTGAAAGTATAGCTGTTACGGTGATGCCGCTTTATATTTTATACTTTGCAAAGTTTTTGTCATTACCATTTTGTTTTGTTTTGTTTTGTTTTGTTTTTAGAGACAGAGTCTCACTTTGTCGCTCTCAGTAGAGAGCCGTGGCATCACAGTCACAGTAACCTCCAGTTCCTGGGCTTAGGCAATTCTCTTGCTTCAGACACCCACCATAATGCCCAGCTATTTTTTGTTGCAGTTTGTCCAGGGCCGGGTTCGAGCCTTTGTATATGGGGGCAGCACCCTGCCCACTGAGCCGTAGGCACCGCCCTGTGATTACCATTTTGATACATACTCTGTGGGAAAGGCAGAACAGGCATTATCTCCATTTTATAGATCAAAATCCTGTGGCTCTGAGAGATTAAATAATCCTATCAAGGTCCACCACCTAATGTAGTAACTGGCAAAGCCAGAAATTAACCGGGAATCTGCATTCCTGGCCATCACCATCGTCCTCACCGGCTGACAGTGACACCAGGGCCTTCACTCTCAAATCCACCTCTATGTCTGAAAAGTCATAGAGCTAAGAGTTAGCACCACATAGTTAAGCCAATGGCAAAGTGTGGTCAACACATGAATGTTTACATTTAATTCTTGAATTAAGATAGATTACATTGCCTCCTTTCCCAAGCCAACAGCTCTACACCATGGCTGTCTGTTTAGAACATACCCAGTAAGTAAGACGTGATGCTGGTGAGAGGGAAGCCGCCTTCCAGTGATGTTGGCACATAGATTAAAGGTCACTTCTTAGCACACTTCCCAGGGCTTTGGATTTAGGTCAAACGCCAATGAAAATACCAAAGTCAAATTGTACTCCATAGAAGTACAAGTGGAGATTTCATTTTCCTTAAGAAGTTCTCTCCCGGCCCTCCCCAACCCCACGTCATCTCTCACGTCTTCTGCTCCACCTACCTTTCCTTAAGCACTTGACTTTCAAATGCTCCTTGTGTACATTTCATTTTGGTAGAAATGAATATTCGGTTCTACTCCAGTTTACTGAAAAATCCCTTGATAAGACTATTTAGAAGTAGCTTTGCATTTTCTTGAGCGTGTCAAGTTTGCTTTTTCTAGCTGTAGTTTCTTTCTCTCCCCCGTCTTGTCGTCTTCCCTGTTCATATGACCTATCATAAAGTACATGCCACTTTTCCACTATCGTTATACATCTTTTTTTAGGAAATGTAAAAATGCTCACTACCAAAGAAATTAGTAAGTAATTGAAAGATCTTCCAGGAAATCATTGAGAGCAATAGTTTACTTACATGCTAGCTAAGAGATAAAAACTTTGGAGAATAGAGCCTTCTTTGGCCAGATACGTTATTTATCATTCACGATCTCTGTACTCATTATAATATTAGCAAAAGCACCTGTATAACCTTTATTCCAGAGGCAACCTCTGTCTGTGACAGTAGAAAAGCCATCGTTGCATTTCAGGACACAGGGTTCTCCTAGAGTCTTAGATTTGTACTTTTTCTTTTTCTTTTTTTTTGCTTTGTACTTCTTTTAACAGGAAAAGCGGGAATTATGGGATGTACCGTCTCACCTGGGGGATTGATGATAAGATGTCTAGAAGTTGCCTTGAGGTCCTTGTGTTTTTAGAGCCATCCTACTTCCACCAATTCACTATGACAGCTCGTAAAAAGAGGCTGTTATTCATTCCTGATAGAGGCTTTAAACTGAGTGGAATCTTAGCAGCTACCCCTACCTCCTTATCCCCGTATGGAAAGTTCCACTGGAAAATGCACTGTGGTTAACATGGCAAAGGCTGTTTGCTTTTAATAGAATGAGAAATTTCACCTATGAATATATAGTAGATATGGTGATTGTTAGACTAGGTCTCTGCCTTAAAAAGAATTTCAGGCTGTACAATATACAAAGCATTTCCTGTTTACTGAGTTTGAATAAGTGAAGAACATGATTCAGTTATGTGTTTATTGTATGTTCCAGAAATTGTGCATCTTTGACAGTTTTGGAACCCTGATCTTCGCAGTGTTTATGGGAGTATGGGGTAAGTTACTTTTACTTTTTCATGCAGTCAATTTAATTGTATTATATAGTTTTATTGTAACCACTTACAAATCCAAAGTAACCCACTTTTAGGGCCTTGGATTGCCCAAGCTTCAACTCCCCTAAAACTCCACTTACAACTGTGAGGACATTGTATTAGTTAGCTTTTACTAGCTAACTAGGTAATGTAAAAACCTCAAAATATGAGTGTATAATGGTTTCAGACAACAAACATGATTTCTCCTATTTATTATTTCTTATTCTCTGGGTCCGCTGAGAGGTTCATCAGGCGTGGGCTGGCTCACTGATCTCGGAAGCGAGCTGGCAGGCCCCTGGGGTGAGCTGGGCAGGCAGTTAGAAGCCTGGTTTGCTCTGTGGGACTCAGCTGCTCCTCCTAGGTTCTCACCCTCCAGGCTAGCCCAGGATTCTGGCTTCAGGGTTCCAAAGAGAAGCAAGAGAAGGCACGCTCCAGTGCATAGACATTTGTTAAGCCTGTCATTGCATCAAGTTCACTAACGTCCCATGAGCTAAAGTCATATGGCCAAGCCAGCATCAACGTAGACAGATGGGAGTACTGCCCAGTGGCTGGGATTTAGGACGCATGATTCATTGGAAGCCAGTGCAGCAGTCCCCACGGCTGTAATCCAACCTAACTTCTACGGGGGTGTGGGTGGGGAGGAAGCAGCAACCTGATGATTATGGGTAAGTGAATATTAATAAGTACATGCCACTCTTAGAACAAATTCTATTTACTAAACAGGTATAATTCCTGCAAAGGAGCTTTAACACTATATTTTTGTATAGCATCATTATTGTAAATGAAACAATTATCATTTTCTTTAAATACAGACTTATAAATGTTTAATCAATATAAATGTTCTAACACCGAAGAACAAACTTTCATTTTCAAAAATAAGTACATTTCCAGTTTCATTGTGTTAAGTCTGGGGAACTGTAGAGTTCAGACAATAAGAAGGTGGGGGAAGAAATGGAATCCGGCCTCTTGTTCTTGAGAGGACAGCACAGCAACACGCGCGGCTCTCAACAGAAGCAGTTACCTAGGTGTCCTCTGCACTCCTTTTCTTTGGCAGTGGTTGTGCCTGTGGGTCACCACATGGATCACAGAACAGACAGTCCAATTATTTTGTACAGTTTTTAGAGATATTAATTGCCAAAGTTCACTGCAAGGTGGCCGGGCTTTCCGATAAATTACACTGGCATTCAGACATGGAGCACACTTTGGCTGGGTACCAAACTTGGGCTAACACCTGACACATAGGAGAATAAAGATGATATGTATGTACTGAGATCCTCTGTATTCTTCCATTGTAAAATACATCTTTTTTTTTTTTTTTCCGGTAAAAGCTTAGGTGCTAAACACATGGGTCAGCATTTTGAACTATTGTCTTAACTGTACAACCATAATCTGTAAAATTCTAACACATCTCTTGAACCGGGTATATTCATGGATACTGATAGCTCCAGTTAAAGATGATATTCGAAATAATTTTCAACATTGGAAAGACAGACCTCAAATTTCCTAACTAACTTGCCTTTCTCCGATCATAGCACTGTGTTTACGGAACTGACGTATCCCCCGGCTGCTGATTTTATTTCGTTTGATCTTAGGGTACAGAATACATTTCATTACTGCTTGTGGTATCGTATGTGTATCTTTAAGGATATGTGTATATGAGAAACGTGTTATTTTAAGTGCTTTATGTTGCTTTCTTTGTTACTTCTGCCTTATGAGAACTACTGCTGGGAATCAAGTTACAGAAAGTATGAAACTGCAAAACTGTTGAATGAGAGAAGGCTCGTGGGAAGTTACTCACATCACCACCATCAAATTCCTGCAGCATCTCTTTTGTACCCTGATGCATATGGCACTTAGAGTATTCTTCTGCGCTCTAAAAATTATAAGTTGAGAGCAGAAAACCTTTTATAATGAATATAATACAAATCATATACTTGTCTGAAAAATATCTACACTTTTAGGCCAGGGCAGCCCACCCATTCACGCTGACTCACGTGTGGTTTACTCAACCTGTGGTTGAAGTACAGGTTCTGATGCTTCCTACCCTCCTTCTTTCTTAACTACTTTCATAACTGAAATTTTTAATTTTCACCTCTGAGGGCTGTGTTCTAAATGGGGCCTCGTGACTTCCATAAAAACATCCATCCTCTGGCTCACTACGGAGGGCCAGGAGGGTCAGGAAGCCTGCCCAGCTGCACTGAGCGAGGCAGGACACAGTTTTGCATGTTACTTCCAGACCTGAGCTGCCCCCACTGGGTCTATACCAGCAAAATAGTGCAGCTCCTGCTACCACTACCGTTGCCTCTGTTCACCTTGGTTTCTGACCTGATGACACACAGATGTGTCTGATGGGCATTTTTTAAACATCACATCTGGAACCCTAGCTGCAAGAGAATCTGAGAAATAACAGTTTTTAACCTTATAGCTTTGAGTTTGGAAGTGGCAAGACTGAGAAAGCTAATCTATTTTATCTACCTTTGCGAGTAAAAAGGGCTGAATAGTGTCAAGGCCTGTTAAAATGTCTCAAATCTTCAACAGCAGACTCATAGCAACCAGAGCACTCCCATCTATGAGAGTGTGTCTCTTGTCCCCAGGTGCTGCAAGATAGAGCACCACCTGTGCTTCACTGCTCTGAACCCCTTACTTTGTAAATGGGTATCACCTTCCTCTGCTGTGTACTTTCTTTCTTTAGATGTAGTAATATGATTAAGAGCAGAAGCTGTTACTGATTCCCAAGTCCCGGGCAACCTTCCCCTTTCTCTCACATGTTAACGGGAGAGTTTCAACTGTGTCTAAGCAACTGGAGCCCGATGGTGTGTGGTTTGCCGGAAAGCAGAAGCACAGGGGTCCCCACTGATGTTCTGTCAGTTGTCTTCTTGCAGGGAGAGAGAGCAAAAACTACAGAACAGGAATTCCTTTCTGTGATCATACACGGTCTCTCCAGGCCCCCCTGCCCTCAGTCAGCAGCACGCCGCATTATGAGTTAGCAATAACACGGCCCAGAAATACTCCACAACACTGGGTGATGGTACGAGGTGGCCAGTACCTTCGGCAGACCCCACAGAGTCTGCGGCTACATAAAACAAGGAGCTAAAACTCCTGGCCATTCCTATAGCTCCCAAAGGGCGGGTAGGATTTGCTCCCAACTCCTTCTTCACCGGGCCATCTCCTGCTTACACTGCAATCCTTTCACTTCCTAGGCAGACCACCTTCCTGAAGTTCAGGACTGGATAAACGGAAGCCTGTTACCCCTTATGTTGAAGTTCAGGGAGGAGAGTAGTGGGTTCTACAGCTCTTCCCTTACAGCATTAATTACAATTGTTTATGTTGCCCTTAGTGAGAAAAGTCAAGTTTATTTTCATGAGTCACCTCCTGTTGATCCCATTGCTAGAAATACATCCTGAGTACATGAACTGCTGTCATATCCAGTTTTAAAGGTGAGGCAAATGACACTCAGGGAGATTAAGCAAATTGCCTGAGGCCCCACAGGCAGAAAGTAATAAGCATAGAATAAGAGCTTTGCAAATAATTTGGTATCAGCCTTTAGATCATCGACAAAATGCAGTATATATTTGTAAAGTTGTAGCAAGCTTTTAGAAAGACGCAGAAATATTTATTTTGGTCATAATTGCACTACTATTTTTAGTGTTCCAAAAAATTTGGTTCTACTTCATATAGCATAAGTACAGACCCTTCCTTCTGTAGAGAGTGCCAGCCTAACTTTAACAAGCTTAGGAGATAAGTACTGGTTCATTTCAGTTACGACGATAGGTGCCAAAGTGCAATCAGATTTTAATGTCCTTAATCACAGTTTCCTTTATAAAATATTTACAGTGGAAGAGTCCATTTGGAGTCTGTGAGGGAGGGGAGTCCACCCTGGGTTCCTCTCTGCAGTGACAATACTAGGGCAGACTCTAACCTCAGTCAAATTCTCCCTGGTGTGTGCTCCATCTTGGGTTATCCAAGGCTCTTGCCAAGTACAGGAATACCTTGGAGACATTTTGAGTGCTATTCCAGACCACCATAATAAAGCGAGTCACATGAATGTTTTGGTTTCTTGGTGGATATAAAAGTTTTATTTCCACTGTAGTCTATTAAGTGTGCAGTTAACATTGTGTTTAAAAACATTCATATATATTAATTAAAATATTCTTTATTGCTAATGATGCTAGTGATCATCTGTGCTTCAGCAAGTCTTTAATCTTTCTGCTGGTGAAGGATCTTGCCTTGATGTTGATGGCTGCTGACTATTCAGGGTAGTGGTTGCTGAAGGTTGGGGTTGCTGTGGCACTTTCCTAAAATAAGACAACAACAAATATTTCCTTTCATGAAAGATTCCTCTCTCCCTAGCTTTTTACCCACAGTAGAACCGAGATCAAAATTGGAGTCAGTCCTCAAACCCTGCCACTGCTTTATTAACTAATTTTATGTAATATTCTGAACCCTTTGTTATTTCAACAATGTTCACAGCATCCTCACTAGGAGTAGATTCCATCTCAAGAAACCCTTTCTTCATCCAAACCACACAACTCCTCATCCTTCAGCTCCTCCGAGAGTGCAGGCAGTTCAGTCACGCCTTCAGAATCCACTTCTAGTTCCCTGGGTGTAGCCCTGCACCACATCCGTGTTAACCTCCTCTGTGGAAGTCATTTATGAGGGTTGAATCAGCTTTCTTCCAGAGTCTTGTTAATGTTGGTATTTTGACCTCCTGTGAATCTCAAATGTTCTTAATGGTATCTGTTATAGAATGATGAATTCTTTCCAGAAGGTTTCAATTTGTTGAGATCCATCCGAGGACTCACTATCTCTAGCAGCTATAGCCTTACAAAATGTATTTCTTATTATTTAAGTCTTGAAAATTGAAATGACTCCTTGATCCATGGGCTAGAATGGATGTTATGTTAGCAGCATGGAAAAAAAAAAATTTGTCTCATTGTATATCTCCATCAGAGCTCTTGGGTGACCAGGTGCATTGTCAGTGAACAGTGATATTTTGAAGGGAATCTCCCAAGCAGGACATCTCAGCAGTAAACCATCTTGTAAGCACATGTGCTATCATCCAGGCTTCCTTGGCCTTTTATGGAGCACAGGTGGAGTCAATTTAGCATAATTCTTAAGGGCCTTAGAATTTTCAAAATTGCAAATAAGCATTGGCTTCAGCATAATGTCACCAGCTGCATTGGCCCCTAACAAGAGAGTCAGCCCATCCTTTGAAGCTTTGAAGCCAGGCATTGACTTCTCCTCTCAAACTATGAAAGTCCTACAAGGCATCCTTTTCCATCAGAAGGCTAAAAATCTGTTGTCTAGTGTAGCCATCTGCTGAGCTAGATCTTCTGAATAACTTGTGCAGTTCTCTGCCAGCACTTGCTACTTCACCTTGCACTTTCTTGGTATAGAGCTGGCTTATTTCCTTAAGCCTCATCAGTCAATCTCTGCTAGCTTTAGTCAATCTTCTGCAGCTTACTCACTTATCTCAGCCTTCGTAGAATTGAAGAGAGTTAGAGTCTTGCTCTGGCTTAGGCTTTGGCTTAGTGGATGTTGTAGCTGGTTTAATCGTCCATCCAGACCACCAAAACGTCCTCCGTATCAGTTATAAGGCTGTTTTTCTTATCATTCATGTGTTCACTGGAATAGCATTTTTAATTTCCTTCAAGAATTTTTCCTTTGCATTCACAACTAGGCTATTTGGTGCAGAAAGCCTAGCTTTCAACACGCCTTCCTTACTAAACTTAACATTCAAATTTTGATTTAAAGTGAGAGACGTGTAATTCTTCCTTTCACTTGAACACGTTGAGGCCACTGTAGGATGATTACTTGGCCTAATTCCAATATTATTGCATCTGAGAGAATAGGAAGGCCCAGGAATAGGGAGAAATATAGGGGAATGGCTGGTCAGTGGAGCATTTGGAACACATAAAACATTTATCAATTAAGTTCAGTGTCTTTTATGGGCACGTTGGTGCCCCAGAGGAATTACAGTAGTAACATCACAGATCACTGATCACAGATAATGTAACAAGTATAATAGTAATGCAAAAGTTAAAATGTTGGGAGAATTCCCAAAATGTGATGCAGAGACATGCAGCGGGCACGTGATGTTGGAAAATTGGCTCCTGTGGACTTGTTCGGCACAGATCTTCAGTCCGTAAAAAACTCAGTGTCTGCGAAGTGCAGTGAAACATGCTGTTTCTGTGCTCAGGGCCCAGGTAGACGGCACAGCAGAAAGTGGTGGAGTGTGATGGTCATATGGGGAGGCAAGCCATGGGACCCAGCTGCCACCTCTGAGTGGGAGAGTCCCCCTGTGGTGGGGTCCTCCAGTTCCTGATGTGGTTTCCTTTAGCTCTTTCCTCAGTGCATTTATCCATTAAGCACCTAACTATGTGCTAGCACGGCAGCTGTAAATACAACTTCATCCTGGCCCTCGTGAAGATGACATTCCAGGGAGCATGATAGGCGGTAAGCCTAGAAGCAGAGTAGGCCAGGAGGCTTGAGTGCTGCATCTTCTGAAGTGCAGAAGAGGGCTGCCCACAGGGTCAAGTGTGCCCTTCCTCACAGCGTGTGCCATCTCACAGTAGAATTCTCTGGTGAGTCAAAAAGTAGGCGTCCTCGGTTCAATGGCTCTATCGGGTGTTTATCAGGGGAGGCAGAGCCCAGGGTGCTTGAGTAAGTGGGTGGCACAGCTTCTGCTGCTCCATGTGCAACCCAACGAGGGTTGGCTCTTGGAGGTTCATTCCTGCCCCCAGCCCCTGAAGGGGTCTCTCATTTGAGGAATATCTGCCACATGAAGCCAGCATAATCTAAGTGCCAGCAAGACCACCCAGTCACATCCTGGTTACCTGACGCCCTCTAGATTCCCATCCCATCAACAGAGGCAGGTTCATGTCCCCATGGGCTGGGACTGGTACTCAAATGGCCAGGTACTTTGTAGTAGAACAGTGGTTCTCTCCTAATGCCATGGTCCTTTAATACAGTTCTTATGGGTCATGACCCACAGGTTGAGAACCGCTGTGTTGAACCATCGCTCTCCACACTAAACACTCAACAGTTCAAACTGATTCCTATAGCAAGTTATTTCTACCTTAGCAAGTGGTATTCAGAGGAACACTGCTGGCCAGGCGCAGTGGCTCATGCCTCTAATCCCAGCACTCTGGGAGGCTGAGGTGGATGGATTGCCTGAGCTGACAAATTCAAGACCAACCTGAGCAAGACTAAGACCCTGTCTCTAAAAATGGCCAGGTGTCAGTTTTTCTATTTTTAGTAGAGACAGGGTCTCACTCTTGCTCAGGCTGGTGATTCTCTGAACCTGAGCCAGAGCGAGACTCCCTCTCTAAAAATAGAGGGACGGTGTGGCGGGTCCCTGTAGTCCCAGCTACTTAGGAGGCCTAGACAAAAATATCACTTGAGCCCAAGAGTTTGAGGTGGCTGTGAGCTATGACCCCACGGCATTCTACTGAGGACAACAGAGTGAGACTCTGTCTCATAAACATAAATAAAATAAACATTGCCAGGAAGCGACGCTTTGAAACATTTTGGTTATCTTCACTTTTGGGGGCATCAGGTTCATGCTCCTCACAGCCGCACCCCAAGATTTCCTCTTACACCTCAGGCTACCTACTGCTGGTCCCTGGGACTCCATTCTGGCTCTCTTCGCTCCCTACTCCAGTGATTCAGTGACTCGCCACTCTGACTGCTCATTAGAGCTTTAAAAGAGGAATTACCAACTACAGCAGAATCTCAGGGGTGGTGCCCAGGCTCAGTATTTTGAAGGCTCCATGGTGCTTCTTGTGAACAACCACTTTAAACCTCATTTAGTGTTCTCATCCATAAATCTCATGGCCCCAGTTGCCACTTAAAACAACGAAAATCTGGCTCAGCCCAGAGCTGCTTCCTGCATTCCATACTTTGACCTGCCTACTGGGCATTTCTCCGGGAGTAACTCAAGTGCACCTAACCACCACCAAACCAGTTATCTTCCCCCTCTTACTACCTTTCTTACTTCAGGGAATGGTGCTAGAATTTAGGATATTTGTCACCTAGGCCAGAGGCCTGGCTGGCATCCTCAGCCTCTTCCTGCCCCTTCTGTCACAGCCGCCTCCGATCAGGTGACCTGCTCCATTGCCTCAAGCATGCTGCCTCTGCATGCACCTGCCTCTAGTCTCACTCCAGATGCCGTCAGTGCCTGCTCCGCATGTAGGCTGAGCTCTGAGCACCTTTCAAGGCAGGCAGAGCCCTTTGTGCTGTGCCCCTGTGGCTGTCTCTCCGACTGCCCCTCCCTCTTCATCATACCCCATGCTCACTACCAGACTGTTTGCAGTTTTATGAGGTCTCTGGCGCTCTAGCTGCCTTGCCTTTGTATGTACAGCTCCTGGGAATCAAAGCCTTAACACCACCTTCACCTGATCAGCTCTGAGTCATCTCAAGAGTCATCACAATGATCCTGTCCCTGAGGAGGCTTCCCTGAAACATCCAGTCAGATGTTTGGCTGTGCCCAGAGCATCCTGTGCTTACCTTCATCATAGCCCACTAACTGGTCCATCGTGCTTATTATCCTAGTAGGTACAGTGTGATTCCCACGTATTTGGGAGCTCCTGGAAGCAGGGACTGTGTCTTGTTTCTCTTTACTGTCAGCAAATACTAAACAATCAAAAAGTATTTGTAGATAGAACAGTCGTGATCCAGAATTTCCATGTAAGAAGGGTTTAGGGGTAACAGTTTGATTGGAAGAAGGCTCTAGAGGAATTTACCCTCAAACTGCACTTTCCAATTAACATTGTTTTTGTTTAGTATTTGAAGTTATACATTCTAAAAAATAATGATTCCAAAAATTATTGCATTTATAGTTTACACAAGAGAAATATATTTTTCTGTATGAAAGAATATTCATTAATTTGAGGAGTTCTAAAGTGTGTTCTCTCCATACCCAGGCCCTGAGGAAGGAAAGGCAGGAGGGAAGGAGTGAGGGGAAGGGGGGTGCAGGGGAGAGCAGACAGAAGGAGGGACTGTGAGCCACTTTGGAATTATGACACTTGTGTTTTCAGCTGGCTGTAAAGTGCTGGAGCAGACGCTTCAGCATCAGACATACATGCCTCCCACTGGCCCGCTATTGCCTTTCCCATGAGCTATCGTTTGTTTCATAAGTCGTTTAAATTATCAGAGTTTTCTTTGAAAACCGTTTTTCTCTTTTAAATATTGTCAGCTATAACTTGATTTTATTTACCATATATGAGAACATTATGGGTAATTTGTTACTTGGCACCGACCTCTGCAACCTCAGTTGACATCGAAGACCCACATAACCAACGCTGTTGTGTCTCTCTCTTTGTTAGTTACCTTGTTTTTGGAGTTTTGGAAACGGCGCCAGGCAGAACTTGAGTATGAATGGGACACTGTTGAGTTACAGCAGGAAGAACAAGCCCGGCCGGAATATGAAGCACGGTGTACTCACGTGGTGATAAATGAGATTACGCAGGTAGAGGAGATGCCCGGAGATGTCAGTCGGTCTCTTTCCTGCAGGCCTCCTTCTCTTTCGCTGTACATTGGAATCACCCGGGGAACGTAAAAGATATTGATGCCTGGGTCCCATGAGTGCATTCTCTGATGGTACATGGTAGCCTGGGGTGCGTTCTGAGCACAGGAATTTTGTAAGCTCCTCTGGGTATTGTAGTGTATGGCCAAGGTGAAAAAGCACTGCTTGGAAGAGTGGACTTAGGAGATCAAGGTGGTCCCTTCCTTCATAGTAATACTAAAACTCGGAAAAACAAATTAGAAAATGATATAGCTGTAGAAGGAGAGATGCATTGATTGGTGTTTATAGTTGATTCTCAGTTTTTCACATGCTCCTTCCTTGTTACATCCTAGACTAGCTGCCCCTGGGTCTGGCACTAAGTCTCGGTCACGGCTCCACCTTCTGGTTGGGATGTGCACAAAAAAATGTGTCTCTTACCCTGATGTGAAAAAAAGGACAGATGAGGAAGGGACTCTTATTTACTGAAGTCCTACTGTGTTCAGGCACTGTGCTGGGTATTTTATGTCATTGGAAAACTAGATTTGCTGCTGCCACTACTGCTGCAAAAATAAAGTATTAAACTATGTATCTCTATAAATATTCCAGAGCCCTTGAAAGATGATTTTTGAAACATTGGCGTTACAGCTTCTTTCCATCAACACAGAAAATTTAGAGCTGATTGTACTTGTAGTCATCAGAATAAGAACAGTAGTTTCTAAGTATGAACAGCTCTTAGAAAGAAAATGCTTTTACCAAGAGCATCTGAAAATGTCCCCAAGTATAGATTTTATAAATTGAATCACAGATTTACACAGTGTTGGCACGAAATGGGACTGGAGGGAGCAGTTCCACCTCCTCCTTTTAAAAATGGAAAGAAGTGAGGTTCACTAATCAGGAGAAAGTGACATTTGTCTCTTGCGATGTAACAAGCTCCCAGTGATGCCCATTATGAATAGTTGCCGCTGTTTATTAGAGGAGACAGGGTCAAAGCATATGCTGTTAAAAGGTTATATATTCAGAAATGGACACTGAAATTTAAACAAAAGTAAATGTTTATAAAGTCTTTTGAGCACTAAAAAAACTAAAAGCTGATATTATCAGCAACACAGGAAAAATACCGAAGAAAAGACAGTCGGGTCATTTAAGCCTGCAGATTTTATATCTAAAATTGCTAACTAATAAGTTTCCTCTGAAAGTTGCTTACTAAAAAATTGCCAGTGAAGGTTCATTTTTCTTTACTTTTCTTCTTCACTTCACTTTGGTTGCTATCTGTGGTCTGTCTTTCATTGATGTATAGAGGTTCATGGTCTTCAGTGTGAAGTCTTAGAAATGAGACTCATGGAATTCTAGTCTGAACACAGCACCTCACCAATTGGGTGATCTTGGACAAATTATTGAAGTTCTGTGCCTTAATTTCCTCGTCTCTAAAATGGGAATAATAGAGCTGCTTCCCTGTGATTGTAGTAAGGATTAAGTGAGTTAACTTATAGAACTATTTTGAAAGGTATCCAACACAGAGTAAGCAATGCATAAATATTTGCAGCTGTTATTAGGCTGTAGCTGCTTTTATAATCCAGGTAAATCATGAGAAGCATTGGTTTCTTCTCTTAAGAATTTAAATATATTCTTAATAAACTATAAAATGGAAACTCTTAAAAATTTTGTATGCCAAACTCATATATGAAGCTCAACCAAAAAACATATAGTATACCTAGTATTTGTAGACATTTGTGAAACTATTTGTCCAGTCATTTCTGAAACCTAAGAGAAGCCCAGAAGTGTAGCTTTACAGCACAGCACTAACCAGATACCCAAACTCGGCTTGGCGCCTGTGGCTCAAGTGGCTAAGGCGCCAGCCACATGCACCTAAGGTGGCCGGTTCGAATCCAGCCCCGGCCCGCCAAACAACAATGACGGCTGCAACCAAAAAATCGCCAGGCGTTGTGGCAGGTGCCTGTGGTCTCAGCTACTTGGGAGGTGTAGGCAGGAGACTCGCTTGAGCCCAGGAGTTGGAGGTTGCTGTGAGCTGTGATGCCACGTCACTCTACCCAGGAGGACAGCTTGAGGCTCTGTCTCAAAAAAAAAAAAAAAAATCTGTTTCAGACACCCAAACTCCTGAGCTCAGATCATGGCACATAAACAGCTCATTACTCACACATCTTCCAAAACTGTTACAAAAATGAACATTGCACGTGTTTAGGTATATTTGTACTTGAAATGATGAATAAAAAATGTGAAATTATGAATAAGGAGACTATGCTTGCAAACCATTTTTCAATTAAATTAAGCCTCAGATTTATTGACAGATCAGGAGAAAAATAATGTCATCAGAGCAATCCCTTGATTAACTAAACATTCTTTTTCATCAGGAAGAAGAGCGCATTCCCTTTACCACCTGTGGAAAATGTATACGGATAACCCTCTGTGCAAGTGCTGTCTTTTTCTGGGTAAGAGCAATACAGTCTTCTACTTTAAAAATTGTATAATTTTATAATTTTTTATTATATAACAAGATTTTTAATATCTAACTTTAAATGTTGAGGAAATTAAATGCTGAGCCTGGAAACTGTATGGTCTCCTGGAGAGAGATGTTTCCAGAGAACTGTTTGGCCTCCACCTGGAGCAGCACTCAAGGATCAGAATCTCTTTATCTGTTCACAGTGGTTCTTCCATTTCCTTTCACTGCATGTGTTTAAATCAGGTCAGTGGTTCAGGATTTTCCAGTTTCTGGTAAAGAGACCAAATGAGAGGCTAAAATTTCCTAACAGTCATAACCAAAATAAAACACCTGTGAATACCCTTAACAAGAAGATAATAGAAACCTTCAAAGGAAACATTAAAATCCTTTGAAAGACATAAAAGAAGGCTTAAATACATGATTCTTAATAAAAAGACAGTGTTTCCAAAATACCAGAATTTATTAAATTGATTTTGAGTTTGTTATTAATTAATTCATATTAGTAATAGACTAGTGATAATTTTATTAGCTTAAGAAGAGCACCCATAGAGAATAGGATATGAAGCTCGGAAGTAGGCCCTGATGTCCGTCCTAGTTTAATACATGAGAAGGGAGGCATCATTAATCCATAGGACAAGGAGAGCTTATTCAGGAGATGGTCATGAAATACTTGTTTAGTTGTTCAGGGAAAAAATAAAGATTAAAGCCATACGCGGAACCACATAATATACATAGTAAGTTTCAGAAACATTTAAAAAAAGTAAAACCATAAAAAACTAGAAAAAGATTATTGAATATATGTTCTTTAGATGTAAATAAGGCTTTGCAACCTCAAAGCCTTGAGCTTAAGTGATCCTCCTACCTCAGCCTCAGAAGTAGCTGGGACTACAGGCACCCACCATAAGATCCTACCAGTTTTTCTCTTTTTAGTAGAGATGGGGTCTCCCTCTTGCCCAGTCTTGTCTAGAACTCCTGAGCTCTGGGGATCCGCCTACATCAGCCTCCTGGAGTGCTAGGATTACAGGTGTGAGTCACTGCACTCAGGCCAGAAAAAGTATTTATTAACATACAGGGCAAAGAGTTAATACACAAGTCCATGTAATAGAGAGAGAGAATGCACATCACCTACAAGGTAACACCAAAGATCCCAGTAGCTGGAATAGAGAACAGAGAACATAAATATGCGTTTATAAAAGAAAAAATGTAATGTCCAAGATGTATTTTAAAAATGCCAAACCTTAATAATAATTAAACCCATGCACGTGTAAGAAAGGAGAGTTTTTCATCTCTCAGATGATAAAGGTCAGTGTTTGTGACGATGAAGTGCAGCCATCAGCCACACCGAGCCTGGGGTATACTGCTCCAGCCTTCCTGGAAAGCACTTTGGCAGTGTGGATTAAGAGTCTTAAAAATATTCAGTTCTTTAATCTACTAATTTAGCTTTTAGAAACATTCTATCTCCAGGGCGGTGCCTGTGGCTCAGTGGGTAGGGCGCTGGCCCCATATACCAAGGGTAGGGGGTTCAAACCTGGCCCTGGCCAAACTGCAACAAAAAAATAGCCAGGTGTTGTGGTGGGCACCTGTAGTCCCAGCTACTCAGGATGGCTGAGGTAAGAAAGCGTCTGAGCCCAGGAGTTGGAGGTTGCTGTGTGACACCATGGCACTCTACCCAGGGCAATAAAGTGAGACTCTGTCTCTATGAAAAAAAAAAAAATTCAATCTCCAAATATTACAGGACAATAAATAAAGATCAATAAAATTTATTCCCAGTTGCCACACATTACATATGTGTGTGTATATATATACACACACACATATGCACACAGGGTATCCATAAAGTTCACATGCACTTTAAAATAGCTATTTTACACATACACACCTTTATATCTGCATAAATATATATCTCAACCAAAAGATCCTAGTTACAACCATCCATACAGTGGAATATGGTGTATGACATGAAAATATTTTATTTCATGGCATCTAGGAATGTTTATGGTTTATGATAGGTTTAAGGGCAGGATAAAATCAATATATAAATTAACTTATTGTATTAATAAATTAATATATAAAGTATTTTTAAATCTACAAACAAGGTATATAGTTCTGAAGGAAGTATACCTACATGTAGGTAGTAGCAAATTATGTTTTAATTTTTCTTTATTTTTACATTATTTTTGTAGTTAGCAATCTTTCAATTGGTAGGTAACAGAAAATTAATCTCCAGTTGTTTTAAACAACAACAAAATGGGGTAAGTGGGATTTATTGGTTTCTGAAACTGAAAATTCCTTGTCTGAGGTCTGGCTTCAGTCAAGGCTATCTACTGCGGCCCAGTTAATATTAAGGGCTGTGTTCTGTTCTGTCTTCATTCCGCCTCCGTGGGCCTCCTGGCATGTGGTGGGTGGGCACTTCCTAATGATTCCAAAAAGGCTGTAGTGTTCCAGACCTCACATCACATTCAAGCAAACAGAGACCTTTTTTACTGGCTTCACATTCATAGGGGAAGCGCGTCTTTCCTGTTGGCACTAATGTCTAGATATCTCCTCAGATCAGTGGCTGTTACTAGGTTATGTGTCTATCCCTGAATCCGTTGCTGAGGTGGGGGATATGATAGTCCTGTGTCTCAAAGCAATAATGATTTACCTCTAGACCACAGTGGGGCAATCTCACCCAAACCCCAAGGCTGAAAATAGAGGGCTTATTCCTCCCACCCAGAGTAAAACCTGAGTTCTCTTCTAGAATGGGGACAGATCTAGGCCAGCAAAAGCAACCAGTGTCCACTATGGGGTCCTGTCAAATTCCCACAGTGAACATACTCTGAAGTCATTATCAGAAAAGTATTAAAGTTTGAATCAGAAAAGATCAGTAAAAAACCTGAGAAAAGAGAATGAAAATCTCCCCTGCTCCTATAAAGAAGCATTGAACGTAACAAGTACTCTGAAGCGTGGGAACTTGCTGAGTTTGTAAAAGCTCTGGAATGAATTAAAAATTCATTTCCTTAACCACTGGGAGGCAGTGCCATGTACAGGGTAGTGTGTCTTTGGAAATCTCAGTTCTTTACAGACCAGTTGCTTCATCTTAGGCAAATTGCTTAATCTCTTTGAGCCTGTGTTTCCTCGTGGTAAAAGAGATATAATACATGGCATAATACTGCCTACCTCACTAGCCTGTCGTGAGAATTAAGCAAATACACACGTGCAGAGGTGAACCATAAACATTTAAAGAATGTTGACTATTACCCTTACTTAATAGTTATAAGAATTATTATAAAGATAATCTTTTGTATGCATAATATTTAAAGAGCCTAGCTGGGCTGTGCTGAGAGGAACACGCACTATGTCTTCTGTAATCTTTTCAGCCTTAGCTGATTGTTACATATACATACACAACAATCTTGTTCATTTCACAAGTGTTACAACTTTGTGAAGGAAAGGAGATCATGGGGAAAAATGTAATGCCTTCTCTACAAGCAGATTGCTTAAAACATAAGAAAAATGTCTTTTTAATGCTGTGGTCACCATAATCACAGGTAATATTTATATAGTGCTGTTCACACACCTGGGCTTAGTGTTCTGCGTGTTCTTACATGTAACTCGTTGAGTCCTCAATAGTTCTGTGAGTTAGGTGCTATATTATTCCAGACAGGTGCAAGTGAGGCTGCTGAAGCCCCTGGAGTTAATTTGTGTAAGGTCCCACAGCTAGAGGCCAGCTGGGGTTCAAATCAGAAGTCTAGCCCCAGGACTGTCCTGCAAGCATTCCCATTACTGCTCACCTTAGTTGAAAACCAGCCTTTCTCTGTTACTGTCAACAACAGGGCGTGATTTGTTTGGTCCTCAGTTGCCCACTCTCTAGCTTTTTCTCTGTCCTGGCAGTCATCACAAGCAGTGTGACACGTGGAGTATGTGGTTCCCCAAAAAGGACATGCAAGGAAAACTGCTTAAAGATCTGACTCAACAGCGTCCAGGACTGTGTAGGAAATGAGGAAAAATTCACAGGACCTTTTAACATGCATTGTTCAGTGGTCAGAGAAAATCTGCTTATTGAGAAAACAAAATCCTACCATGTGCAAATGTGCTTCAGAGACCACCACTGACTCTGGGGACTGTGTAGCCAAAAATACATCAGACTAGGGACGTGGCTCTTGTGGAAGTGCTGGTGCAAATGCCTGCCAGTTTACGATTGTAATATCTGAGTGTGAAGAGCGTGTGAAGCTTTCATCAGCAGACACCTGCCAGCAGTGCCAACGCAGGGCTAACCCACGGCACCTTCCTGTCGGCTTCACTGGCCCTGTCCAGAATCTCCCCTGCGTCAGTGGTTAAGACAAAAGCTAGCACCTGCTGATGCTTGAGTTGGTGATAGCACCTCTGTTGGAAGAAAACATATTTCCTTAATGGAGTATAACTGAGCAAATAATAACTTGGTAATTGTAGATGGGATGTTTCCTTTGATTCCATATGCACGGTCAATTTTTCCTTATGCTGTCTGAAACATTCAGTGAATTTTCTTGTTTAGAGTGATTTTAGGATTATAAAAACAAAATTGAGGCCAGGTTCAGTGACACACGCCTGTAGCCATAGCACTTCGGAGGCCAAGGCAAAGGGATCAGTGGAGGCCAGAAGTTCAAGACCAGCCTGGACAACATAGCAAGATCCCATCTCTAAAAAAAAAAAAACCAAAACATTTTTAAGAATTAGCCAGGCATGGTGACATGTGCTTCTTGTAGTCCCAGCTACTTGGGTGGCTAAGGCAGAAGGATCACTTCAGCCCCAGAGTTTGAGGCTCCCATGAGGTATGATCACACCGTTGTACTCCAGCCTGGGCAGCAGAACAAGACTCTGTCTCCCCCCCCAAAAAATTGAACATAAAGTACAAAGTCCCTGTGTCACTCCTAGCCACAGTTTCTCTTATTATTAACATCTTCTATGCGTAGATACACTGTCTTTTGACTTTCATCATTCTTTTTGCTTTTTTCAAAATGTAACGTGGATTTTCTACTGGTAGGTGGCAGTTCTGTGAGGTTTACTTCACTTCACACCCGCACCCTGTTAATTTAAGCATGGGGTCAATTGTCACAGTGCAGATGTGATGACTGCGGAGTCTCATGCTGCTGTGTTCATTCTGCTTGCAGATCCTTCTGATCATTGCTTCAGTTATCGGGATCATTGTCTACAGGCTCTCGGTGTTCATCGTGTTTTCTGCAAAACTTCCCAAGAACCTTAATGGAACAGACCCAATCCAGAAATATCTGACTCCACAGACAGCCACGTCCATCACTGCTTCCATCATCAGCTTTATTATCATCATGATTCTGAACACCATCTATGAAAAAGTGGCAATTATGATCACTAATTTTGGTAAGGTTCTTCTATAGCTTAGGTAATTTCTGATATATTTTTAGAGCCAGTCAAAAATAGAGACTGTACCTTTCAGGCATTTCAATTCCAGCAGGTAACAATTTTTTGAAATATTCAAGTGTAAACATTTTTTTTTCCTCTGGGCTGTATGGGAAATGAATTATCTACAGCTTTGCATTCGTAACAGGGACAAAGCAAAGACAATCATTATGATGTCCAAGCTCTGTGTAAACAGATCGGTGCTGAATAATATTTTCAATTACATTAGATCATGTTCTCTATTGTTGAAAGTAAATAGTCTCTTTATTGCAGATAAGTGGAGTAAGGTCATGGTTCCAGTGGCAAATATGCTCCTCCGTTGTGGCGGGGACAGGCAGTCACACTGCTGTGTGTCTTTCCTCGTGCTGTTCATATTAATAAAATTCCTATCAGCTCTGGCTTTTGTTACATGCTGCTTTTCCCTGGCTCGTGTCCCAGGCAGCTGCCTGGTGGCCAAAGTTTAAGTGCTTCCCACCCCTGCCTACATCTGGATGGTTCTCTGAATGGTCTGCTCAGGGACCTTGTAGGAAAGACAGACTGATTCAGATTCCCAACGAGGAGGACGACCTGTTTGGTCCCCCCTAAATACTTCTAGCAGGTTGCCCCTTGTTTTGTTATTTTCTTCAATAGTCCTACCTTATTGTAATTCAGGAAGACAAGAGAATATCATTTAGCAGGCAGTTCAAAGCTGATCTTCTGTTAATTTTCTGTCAGTTACACTATGACAGTTCTTGCTTATTTGATAGCATTGCACTTGTAAATTTTAAGGAGTTGAATAATTTTTTTTTTTTTGGCCACGTGGGTTATTATTCTCATGTGGAAGAAGAACTTATAACAATGTGTAAACTTGGAATTAACACACTGGCTATATTAAGGAATTCAAAACAGCTTAAATGGAAACAGTGTGAATTGTATTTTTTTAAACATGTTAACTCATGTATCAGTGCCTTTGATTAGGGTCTCAAAGCTGTTCGCAGTTTTAAAATCCCACTTTTCTTTCTTTTAACTACAGAACTTCCAAGGACCCAGACTGATTATGAGAACAGCTTAACCATGAAGATGTTCCTATTCCAGTTTGTCAACTACTACTCTTCGTGTTTCTACATCGCATTCTTCAAGGGCAAGTTTGTAGGCTATCCAGGAGACCCAGTTTACTGGTTGGGAAAATACAGAAATGAAGAGGTATGAATACAGAATTGTATTCTCTTGCCAAATTAAGTTGTTTTATGCTCTCAGTTGTCCAACAAATAATTTCTTCATTTTATTTTTTTTTCTTTTTAGTTTCTTCACTTTTAGTTCTTTTATTGTTGTTTTAGCCTACACATAACAAATACTGGAAAAATAAAAGTAATGACTGTTTTCCAAGTTCGATCCTCTTAAAATTCAAATAGATTTTCTTTTGAACATTCCAGTGTGACCCAGGTGGCTGTCTTCTTGAACTGACGACGCAGCTGATAATCATCATGGGAGGAAAAGCCATCTGGAATAACATCCAAGAAGTTTTACTGCCGTGAGTACTAAGTTGTGTAAATCTTGAGTAGCAGGACGGGGACAGACCAGCCCACTGGTCCACGTCATTTGCCTGCCTGTCCCCAGAGCTGCATGTCGACCTCTAAAATGGATTAGAATCGATTGTTTTTAAAGATTGCCAGAGAAGATGTTATAATTAATAGTGGAAATGCGTGCAGTGTTTAACAATGCTGTTTAAAACCCTTTTTTACGTTTTTCCACTTTCTGTACTTTATGCTTATGAAGATGTTGGTGGCGGCTGACTGATCCGCGTCCTTGAGGGATGACCCTTGTTAGCGCTGTGAACTGTGTATTTCCATAACTCCTCACAGCACCTTCCTCCTGCTTGCTATGCAGTCAGTCATCGGCCAGGTGCAATGGCTCACACCTGTAGTCCTGGTACTTTGAGAGGCTGAGGAGGGGGATCACCTAAGGCCAGGATTTTGAGACCAGCCTGAGCAACATACTGAGACCTTGTTTCTACAAAACTTGGAAGAAGTCACTGGGCGTGGTGTTGCACACCTGTAGTCCCAGCTGCTCAGGAGGCTGAGGCGGGAGGATTGCCTGAGCCCAGACATGTGAGGTTGCAGTGAACTATGATGACACGTCTAGCCCAAGGAACAGAACAGGGCGTGTCACAAAATAAAATAGGAAAACAAAGTCGATAATGGTAATGTGTTAAATGCTTCGTATGTGCCATAACTGTATTAAGTGCTTTACCTGTATCTCTCTTACTTGATTTTCTAACTTATCCTTATTTTGATCCCCCTTTTACAAATGAAGATCTGTGGCTTTAAAAGGTTAAATGACTTACCCAGTTCACATTGGCAGTGTGAGGCTACTGTAGGATTCACATCCAAGATCCTATGACGACACCAAAGCCATGTGCTTTCAAGAAGAGAGGTCCACCGGGGATCCTGAAGCATTGAGCAAACATAATGTTTTAAGACATAAATTGCCAAAAATAAGTACCACAAAGATTTTGACTTATACTGTTGCTTTGCTAAAAAATGGGGAGCATAACAGGATACAGTTGGACTTTAGGTGTTAGCTGGGAACCCACTGCCATTTTAAATTTTCATATAAGCCCCATCTATTCTCAGAGTAAAAATTACAGCACCATTTGCAGTTTGTGTGAATTTCAGGGACTCTATTTGTATAAGTTTTCTTACCATAAAATTAATGGGCTAAAAAAATACAAATGTAACATTTTACAGTCCTGGCGGTCAGAAGCTTCACCAGGCTAACATCAGCGTGTTGGCAGGGCTGTTTCTTTTTGAAGGAACAAGGGTAAATAAATCTCTCTGGCCTTTTCTGGCTGTTGGGAGCATCCCCATTCCCTGCTGTGACCTCTGTTCTCCACCTCAGAGCCCACAGTTTCGTGTCTGGTCCTTCTGTGTTCATCTCTTCCTCTCCCTCACCCCTTCTCTGTCTCCTTCTTCCTGTCTTCTCTTATTTTGAAACAAAAATATCTACCTTTTTAAAGCCTTTTGCCCACTGTACAGCTGGATTTTGCCGTTTTGTTTTTTTAACTTACCGCCTTTCTTCTTAGGCTCCAGCCTCCTGCCTCTTTGGCCTCTCTTTCTCCATCACGTATAATAGAATGTCCCTCTCCTCCTTCCCCTCCTTCCCCTAAACCTCTTTTCTTTCTCTCCAACACCAAGTTTCTGTTCATTCTCTTTGTGGAGCAGTTACCTGACTCTGGGCCCCACGGCATCATCCTGTGTCTTCACTGAGAACTATTAGGGTCCTGCTCGAAATGACCATCTCTCTTCCCCTTCTCTCCTCCTACCCTCTCCAAAAGGATCTGGCTTTGGCTGTAAAAATATGTTTTTTAATCATACTGTGCAGAAAATCACTTTTTCATTGAGTTCATATTCAGATTTTTTCCAGATAAGGAAAAAGTAGGTCATCCACAAATAGTACCATGCTTGTTTCTCCATGAAAACAAATATATAAAATAGAAGAAAATCTTGACACATTCTTGGGTTACTAAAAAGTATTTTCTGAACCAAGAAGGTTAACTGTTTAACACTAAGTCTTGATAGCTAATTGGTTGTCAGCAAGCTATTTGAAAAATTAGGGAGCAGGGTGTATCTCCTAAACTGATACTGAGAAATTCACATGACATGAAATTTGTTCATATATATTAAAATAAAAGATGAATTATGGTATTCGTAGCCTGTTAATACTTTCACTTCAGGTAAGCTCATTGTAAAAAATTACAATGACATGAACTCTGCCTTCAGATATATTTTCTTTCTAGCCATACCTATTTAGGCTAGGAAATTATTATATATCTCTTGCTTGAAAACTGGAATGCCAAGTGTAAGCCGAATCAGAGTGACGTGGGCTGCTGCTTCTCTTTGTATAGATACCAGTTTCCTTTTTCTTGTATACAACCCTAGCATATCAAAGATGCTTGTTACCTTACTACCTAAAACTGTACCTATACCTAAAATAGGAATGGAGAGAAAAGCCTTATTGTAAGTAGATTAAATATGATAATGAAGAGTCCAAGAGAAAAAGGAGGTATAACACGCTTCCCACCATGCTTTGCTCATGATAACGACTTGGTGAAACATGAGACTGTGCTAAGATACATGGTAAATTTCTAAGGAAATTCTTTTGTTTGCTTTTTTCTTTGTATTTCAGGTTTATGTGAGGGTACAAACAATTAGGTTATAGTTTTTGTGTGAAGAAAATTATATTGTAACCTCTGTGTTTAGCTTTGGCTGGGGAAGAAGGTTATCTGGTAGCTGTAATTTTTAAAAGTGCTATAGGTGGTTCACATGCGCAGTCAAGGTTGAGATCCCTGCACTAGAATCATAGTTCATTAGAAAACCCAAAAGACCAAGATCAGTGTAGATAGATTGACCACCCAGGATTCCCTACTACAGTTGAGTAGGAAAAATAGTAGCTGTTGCAATTTTGATAAGCCCAGGTACATAGTCCTCTATTTTTTTCCAAAATATTTTGATAGACAGAAAAAATCCACATGCAAAACAAAAAAGTTAATTTCTTTGAAAATTATATATTCAGCTTTGAGATAGCAGCAGAATACTCCATGACCTTGGTTGGATAATATTCAAATTTATAATTTGATCTTTTTGACAGCTGGATCATGAATCTAATTGGGCGGTATCACAGAGTTTCAGGATCAGAAAAAGTAACCCCACGATGGGAGCAGGACTACCATCTGCAGCCTATGGGCAAACTGGGACTATTTTATGAATACCTCGAAATGAGTAAGTTTTCAGTGAAGTTTTAAGTGACATAAAATATGTGGGAGTATGTTTTGGATCCCAAAAGCATCTGTGACTGATTCAAATTAATATTTAGTGTCTTGAAATGAAGAAGTGTTTTTCTCCACTAGATAAAATTATACAGTAAGGCTTTCAAATAAGGTGACTGCGTGTCTTTATCAATATTTATATTTTACAATGTTAAAGATTACCAGGCAATAAAATGGAATAGTCATTGAGGTATTAAACATCTTTACCATTAATTCTCAAAGCATCCTAACCACACAGTCTGAGGATGAACTCAGCAGCTATTATTAGATGTGATTCAGCTTCGGCCAGAGCCCATGCGGGCACAGCTGCTGGCCAGTACACTTCTGAACCAAGTCATTTGAGGAAGGTGGTAGGGCATGCTGCCTGGGACAGGATGATCACAGAGTCCCCTTCTTCACACCGCAAACCTGCCTTTGACAGCGTATCTGTTTCTCTTGGCCAGAGATTTGTGCCTGGTTCCTTGAGTGACCTCATGGCTAATCACTGACTTGAATTTGGAACTACTGTGCTGGTCTAGAATTAAGATTTAGCACATGTCCCCTCCTTCCTAAATGTCTTTGTCCATTTGTGTATTATGTGCTTGGTCTCTGTTTCTCTTCAGCTGAACTTGATTTTGAGCTCTTATTTGCTTTTAAATGGAAGCTTCTCCATTTAAAGTCGATTTCCATAGGAAACACCATCTTTTCTATTATGCATGACTTTCTTATCTAATAGAGGGCTAACAATTTACATGTTTTGTATCTATGCCCTTTCAGCTAACCATTGCACTGAATTACAATTTTTTTTAAACTAAGGAGAACAGAACAAGAAGCTCAACACTTTGTTGACAGGCCTCGCATTTATGCATAGGGGTTTGCAAAGATACCCCTTTGTTATTTCTCTGTAAGAGTCTTTTAATAGAAGACTAGTTTTTATTAAGTCACATTCTATATATAAAATAATTGCTTTGGAAAATATAGATTATACATGGAAACACATCTGTTTCCTTCAGTGAGTAAAAGGTTCATCTGGTGGCTTCTTCAGTCAACAATACTTTGCAGCAGCCTGGAGTCTGATCTGAATTTTATTTTTGCTTTTGTTATGTTTCGTGACTAGGTTTTATTAAGGGTGTAGCTACAGGACATAGTATAGAAGCTGTATTTATTTATTCTGTTTGTTTTCTAAAGGACTATAAGATAATTACCTGTTATTCAAAAGTGAGTCATAATTATAAATATTTCTTATGGGAACCATTATCAGCATTAACAGGAGTAACATCCTGGAGCAGAAAGAATATCATTTGTTATTTTAGCACCACCACCCCCCCAAAAAAACCTTAGCAGAAAGTTGTTTTTCTGTGGTTGATTAGTCAAATAAATAATGTCGAAAAGAAAAGCTATGTGGTCGTGTTTTGGGGAGAAGTTGATAGGACTTGTAGAGTTTCATAGGCTCATTAAAATAGTTATCAACTAAATAATTCTGCCTCCTCCTTCCTGTCCTCCAAGAAAGGACAGAGTAACAGCTGTCAGAGACAGATTTTTAGATGTATTAAATTGATAGCGAATGATTTAGACGACTTAATTTCTGAGAGCCGGCAGTTTATTATTGTGTACTCAACAGTGGAGTGAGATCTGTTTGTCTTTCTCGTCTGTGGAAGATAGAATTGCCCAATTGCCTTTTGAATTATTTTTGTTCTGCTAAAAATAAATATGGAGTACCTTTGAGGCCCACACTGCCACAGAGGCCCCTCCTTCCCACTTCCCTGTATTCATTAATGATGCCACCGGTACCTGATTGCAGCTCCCACGGCTTAAGGAAAGCATCTTCTGGCAGCCAAGCCGGGAGCCTCCGCCCTTGCTTGGCCTCGCACCCCGCTGTCGTCCTCTTCTCTTCTTCCCTGACAGTCCCTGCTGCCCCTCGCTTTTCCCATGGCTTTGCTGCTTTTTCTTCTGAGCACAGACCACTGATACCTGCCCCCGTGGCGTGTGGTGCAATGCATGCCTTTCTCCCGGCTCGGAGTCTGTTGGGGGGTAGCTAGCCACCAAGGCCTGTAACCTAGTACTCAGAAACATTTACACGTCCACTCATGCACCTGTCAATGGATCTTGCACTAACATTGCCCCATCTTCTCCCCACCTAGTTACGGATGGCCTGTGGTTTTTCTTTTCTTTTTATTTATTTCTTTTATTCAGTGAATTTCCCACCATCCTTCAAGATTATTAAAGTAACACTGGGGTGTTAACCAGAATTGCCTCTCAGAACATTTTCTTGACTCTGAGAACTCAGACACAGAACATGAAATTAGCAGTTTGTCAGTATTAAAACCCTGAAGCCATAAGATACCAAAGATATGTCCGTACGTATGACACAGCACAGACTACAGGAGTCCTGAGAACTTGGTGATGCCTCCCCGGAGGCAGGTGCCATAAATGAAGTGTGCTACAGCAATGGAGTGGGCCTGTTTGCCTCTTCCTCTCTTGCCATGTTACCTTGACCTTGCCTCTCTCCATCTCCAAGTTCATCTTTTTAAATCCATTGAAACAAGGATTATTCTCTCATTTGATTTATTGTACTGAGTGTCAGCTGTTCCTCAGCTTCTCTTGGGGGTGGGTTCCCCTCCCCTCCCTCCTCTCCTACTCCCACGAAAGCCCGGGGTCTGTTTTCCTTCGTTTCATTCCCTCATCTCTGCTCAGTTCCTGCCCGTCCCCTGCGGTGAAGTTTCCTAGCCTTTGCAGAATAAGTTTTACAAAAGGGCAACTAGGCGTTGGGGAGGATTTGCAGGCTCCCATCTCTCCATTCCTTCAGTCCTTCAATGAGTAAAGTTTATAGAGCAGCTGCTTCACTGAGCATAATGAAGAGGACGGATATTTCAGGTAGAGGGCTGGACATATTTGTACAGAACTGCTGGGTCAGTTCAGAGAAAGGCAGGTAAACACAGTGGCCGGAGTTGTGGGGAAGAACAGAAGCAGCACAACAGCTGGGGAGTTTTTTCTTTTTGTTTCAAAAGTTGTTTATCAAGTTCTCACTTGACTATCAGATCAAATTATGCCGTGTTGGGTTTTTTCTGGTGCTTTATTTTTTTAATGTAACATTTTAAATCCATCTGGAATTTATTTTGGTGTCGAAAGTGCTGTCTCCATCCCAGTTTTCTCGGTGACCCAGCTAGTCACTCCCATGCTTGAATCCACTCTTTTAAAGTATCACTTTATAAAAATACTAAAATCCCATGAATATTTGTATCTCTTCTTAAACTCCATCCTGTTTAATTCATACTGTCTATTCATGTACTAGTTCTGCTTAAATTACCATGACATTATAGTATACTTTAATATCTCCTACAGCTGGTCCCATTTTATTATTATTTTTTCAGAACGTTCTTCATCCTGTGAGTGCAACCATCCCTCATTTATTTTACCCATTTGTTGATGCAGGGCAGCCAGAAAGTGTGCAATTTAAAATCGTTGCACACGAACTTCATGGCCACCCTGTATTTCTTGACAAACTTTAGCATAAACTTTCAGCTTTTTTAAAAAGTCCAATTGGGATTATTAATGGAATTATATTAGAATCCTAAATTATTTTGTGTAAAAATAATTTGATATGTTCCCAAATTTGAGTATACCCAATTACCATTCATTTAGTCATCTTTTCTTTTTTTATGTCATCAAATATCCTAAGTCTCGTTTGTGTTTGTGTTGTCGTTATAAATGGTATCTTTTCTCTTTGGGATTTTTTTAACTGGAGTGATTACTATCATTACCCTTATTTCTGGCTTCTCTTGAATCATCAGGAGATCTGGCAATGTTGGGCCCTCATTCCAACATGCGACTGAACTGTCCCTCTCAGTGGGACGTGTACTTGCCGGTTGACCACTGTTGGCTCTCTCCTACTCCACACGCTTACATTACTTGCACGGACACGTTTATTTAGGCTTAGGCCAGCCATAGACAAACGCATTGATTCATTTTTATTCAGTGCTGCTGCTGCCAACTCTGTGGCATCCCCAGCTCTTATCCTTCCTATCTGATGTCTCTGAATATGAGCACTTCTGTCTGGCCGTGGGACATGCCTGCCCTGTCTGTTCTGAAACATTCCCTTATCCTCCTAGACTAGAAGTGCCTGCCAGCTCCTCCCCTACCTGGCCACCCCCTCCACAGCATTGCCCTTGCTGGCCAGAGTCCGTCCTGCCCCTATCTGAGCAAGAGGCCGGACAGGCCGTGGGTTTTCCTCTCCTTCTGTCTTACTTCCGTCTCTACGCCCGTTTCCTCTGAAGTTCTGCCAGTTAGGAAGGCAGGGTCGAAAGCTCACAGTTTCCTCTTTTAGACCTTCGGCCTCATTTCTTACTTCTTCCACACTATGGTGCAGCTTAACCAAAATCTCTGCTGCCCTCATTATAGTAAGGCCCTATAAATTACAGACCAGGAGAACAGAACTTCTAAGCCACCTCCTGAATCTCGACTTGACAACCTCAAGATAAAGATTCTTCAAGAAGGACTATGACTTACTAAGACACTTTTATCCCATATCTATGTGATCTATAATGATACCAACTTCTCCGAATACTTGCATTCACAGACACAGGATATTTTCTCCCACATTCTCTAAACATACCCATCCCAATAGGATTTTTCTTACGTCCTTTTAACTTGTTAGATATGTCCACAATATTCCTTTTCTTTTTCTAGACTCCTAAACCACAAATCATCTTCTAACATTCTACGATTTCAACACTGAGACTGAATAATATACTTGGAGTGTCTCAGGTTTACTACCAGCAAATAATTCTGGTTGACTAAAGATTCTTAAATATATCGTTCTATTAAGGTGTCGATATGGGAAAGAAACAGGCTATGCTTAGTCCTCTTTCCAGAGAGTTCGTATTTGTGTTTTAATTCTTTTACTGTGGAGCCTGAAATATTTACCATGCATGTGTTTTCTCTCTGGGGTTTAGTTCTTTGTTTGCCTTTCTCTTTCGAGAGTAAAGGAAAATGTGTTGTCCTTCCATTCATCCACCACCCCGTGATGTGTGTCCATTCCATTGACAGTTATTCAGTTTGGGTTCGTCACCTTATTTGTGGCCTCTTTCCCACTGGCCCCTCTGTTGGCTCTGGTGAACAATATATTGGAAATAAGAGTGGACGCGTGGAAACTGACTACCCAGTTTAGACGCCTGGTGCCCGAGAAAGCCCAAGACATTGGAGCCTGGCAGCCCATCATGCAAGGGATAGCAATTCTGGCTGTGGTGACCAATGTGAGTAGACCTAGGCTTTGCAGGGCAAAGACCTTGAAAAGTCCAAAAATGCATTAGAGTTGCTACCTAAGGAATCAAATGTTTGGTGTTTTTGTGATACAAGAAGATGATGCTAAGATTATCGTCCATACAGACAACATAGTTATTGTATGTCATATAAGTAATTTGTTAAATCTGTTCTCTAAAATTTTGTTTATAATTATTATTCTTAAAACGTCAAGACCTCCTACACAGTTATTGCTTATTGGCTAAGTTTTTATTTAATAAAAATATGGTAATGATGGTTATAAGTGCTAACATTTTTAATCCTCTCATAACTATATAAGGAGTTATCAGAAAATGCTTTTATAATATGGGTAGAAATCTGTCCATTCATAGTTGGAGGACCTCAAAATAAGGCCATTTTACTGCAGATTCCAAGTATCAACTTAAATATGAACTTTGGAGAAGTGTGAACACTTCACACGTTCCCAACTGTGTGTTACCTTGTCTCAGTGTTTACAGGAAGTAGGTTTAGGGTGAGTTTCATCACTCTTCCCCCCAGCCCTAGGTCTTCATGAACCATGCTCTGGTCATTGGCTAAAGCAGTCTTACACCCTACCTGTATCCCAGCCACGTGGGAACAGAAGCCAGTTGTTTACAGCTTGTGTTAATTGTTTATGGACAAATTTGAACAATCTTTTTTTTTAATTTTGCACAGACCAGCAGAGCTCCCAGGCAGAGCAGTTTTCATGTCGGTCCATCAGAGGACCTCTTTCCCTAGAAATGGTCCTTAAAACCAGGACCATTTCCTCCCATATTTCAATTCCAATCTCCTAGATCCACTTCCCCCAACAGTTTCCCAGTTTTAATTTCTTAAGCCACATGTGCCATAAGTCCCTAGCTTTTTCCCACAAGCACCTGCAGAAACAGAAGAGAATCCAGCAGTACCTGTAGGAACTGGATGAGAGACACTGAGCACTACAGGCCTGAGAGTCAGGAGACCCGAGCTCCAGTCCCCAGCACCGCAGCTCTGAGCTGCAGGCCTTAACACTCCAGAGCCTCATTTCACCATTTGTAGAATGCACAACTCCCAGCGCATGTTATAAGAATAGCACATACTACAAAGAGTTATCGGGGAATTCACTACATGCGTGTATAGCGTGTGTAGAGCCTAGTTGTTGCTGGATGTCAGCTGCTATTATACATCAGCTTCACTACTCCTCAGAGGTATTAACACTGGTGCTGGTACCTCAACTAGAGGCACAAGAATTTTAAAAAAAAGTGACTGTCTGGCCTGTGGTTACAGTTTAGACAATAAAACATTATCTGTAATCCAGCTGTCACTTTTACATACCCCAGAACCCTCGATTTTTTTCTGAATTGCATGCTATCTCTACTTTTTGGAGAAAATTGCAAATCACACATAACACACACACAACTACGAGGGTATGTCAGTTTCCATTCACCCAAATAGCCTGTCCCTTCAACATCTACCATGCTGCGGAATGAAGACGGATGTTTAGAAGTATGACAGCGAGGCCTTTCAAGTTCCACAGTCATAAAAGAATGAATCTGTCATGTTCAATACACTGCAGTACACTAAGCAGGGCAGGAGCACGGACTTGCGTGCTTTAAGAAAATTTTCAGCAACAAGGTTTGAAACTAAAAGGGTTTTTGACCTTCAGCTAATCAGAAAATGCAATTGTCTCAAACTCCCCATTCCTCAAGCACTCCGGGTTGATTGTGTTAGGTGCCTTTCCCAGCATCCGTGCCCTGGCTTCCCTCCACTGCACAGATGGAGGATTGGCTGCGTCTCTAAGGCTGCTCCGTGTGTGCATGTGTAGAGACACACACACACACCCGCTAATTGGTGCTGTTGGTTCTTACTCAGTAGCAGTTCTGTCACCCTCAGAAAGTGTGTGTTAGATTTGTGACATGGATTAAACCATGGACAGTCCTTTTTCCCATGTTATTAGGATTGTTACACTTCCAAGATGCTGTGTGCATACACACACACGAGTATGGATGGAGGCAGGCCTTCAGCGGGGGTCTCTTATCCCTTCAAACACCTAATGTGTCTCTCCAGCAACCTAATGGGTGCAAAAAAAAGAACAGCCACCAGGGAGAGGAGTGGGCCTCCAAACAGGAGTTTGGTATAAAATCACTCATTTTAAAGCTGCCAGTTCAGTAAGTAAGCTGAATTGACATTGTTGTATTATGCCAGAGCATCTGCTATTGAAGACCAGTTTTAATTTATTTTGATAGAAATGGAAAATTGTGTGCGGAACAGCAGGGAAAATGAAGCACACTGCATTTATTTGCACTCTTACAACACGTCTCCCAAAGTAGCTCAGTTCAGGAGGAAAAGTATCTTGTCAGAAGACAATAGAATTATCTTCCTTGTTGGAGTTTGTGTAGCTTCCTGACGCACATCTGCAGGTGATTCTATAAAAAGATATAGTTGAGTTGAATGATAACACGGAAAACTAATCTCTTGAAATCTAGAAAAAGGTAAACTGTTCTCACCTCACTTCACTACCAACAGGCAGAAACACACACGGAGATCTTTTACATCAGAGGAAATGACAGAGCGGGTTCTAGTGGGGGAAATTTGCCTAAGATGTTGTTTGTTGGTTTGTGGTCTCACTGTGTCTAATGCATATGTTCAGAGGAGTACTGTTAAAAATCATGGTGACCCAAAACCAGGTCTGTTTTTCTGCTTCAGTTAATGGTGGCATCACTTAGCTGTGTTTATTCACTAGAGTCTGGTTTAATTTTATACATTGGAGAATGTAAAGCCCAAATGAAAGACATTTAGAGAAAATTCTTGTAATTCACAACAGCTTTACATCCTGATAGATCTCACCCTGACGCAGACACACGTTTATGATTGAGCTATATTTATTATCTGGAAACATAAACTTTATTTTTGTTACTCAGAAATTTATAACTTACATAACTTTATCCATTTACTCTTTTGGAAGTATAGAGCTTTAGACAGTAGCTCTAACAAAACAGACATCATTGCTTAACTCTGTGAATGGAACAATCCAATATAATTTCTTGCTACTCACCTTTTATAAAATTAATGGGGAAAAAAGTTTTCTCCCTAATGAAGCAATAAACATAAGTATACAAGAGTTTAAGATCAATCAGGCCACAGCTTCTGTAAACGAGTCAAGATACTGTAGGGGAAAAAAATACGAATTTGAAGGTCATTTAAATTTAAATCAAGGAAAATATTTTAGGTAGTGTATATTCTATTTTTATGAGAAGCAAGTGATAAATTAGTTTTGATTATTTTACAAAGTATAAAAAGCTGAATTATTTTTATGATAGATATTATTATACCTACAAAAGGATCTTCTAAATCTAAAACATAAAAGATTAAAATTATATCAAATATAACTCTAATGTTGACTGAATTTTATATTTTTTGAAAAATACTAATTTAATATATGCAAGCAACTCCTGTAATTACCCACAATGCCCTAGTTACAATTATTTTGACTAAACTGGCGTTTGCTGTATTTAAGAAACAGAATGGGCAACTGTCAGGCCTTTGCATTTGAACAGTACGTGGACTTCTAAATAGTCCCTTAGAAATGAACACCAAAAGCTAAGGGAAATTCTGTTTTATAATTGTTGCTTAAAGATTATAGGAAATGTACTGTCTGTATCCATTTCACAGTTAAGAAAAGAAGGTTTCTGAGTCTTTAATTTTTTTTTTTTTAGCAGCAATGAACATGTAGAATTTATAACTAATAACACAATACCATTTATATTAACACCCCCTAAAAATCCTGTAAGTAAAAATCTAACAAAACATATACAAAATCTATAAGAGGACAAGTACAAAAATCTTATAAAAAAACAAAAGAAAAACTAAATAGATGAAAAGATATTCCATATTCATAGACAGGAACACGCAGTATTATCAAGACATCAGTTCTACATCAGGTTGATGAAATAGCAATTCTGTTAACCGTACTTGTTAATAATGGTTATAAAAGCTCTAAATTAATGCTGCTTTTCTTCTTGTCCTCCCCACATAGGCCATGATCATTGCTTTCACATCAGACATGATCCCCCGCCTGGTGTATTACTGGTCCTTCTCTGTGCCGCCCTATGGGGACCATGCAGACTACACCATGCAGGGGTATATCAACAACACTCTGTCCATCTTCAACATCGCAGACTTCAAAAACAAAAGCAAAGGAAACCCGTACTCTGGGCTTGGCAACCATACTACGTGCAGGCAAGTTCCCCATACCTGCTTAGAAATGTACTTTATCTGTGAAAGGGCTTTTGTTTGTGATATCATTCTGTTTGGTATCCTTTAAATCAAACTGCTAGAGACGTTTCTGCTCAGAGCTTTGTTTTTAATGAAACTAAAGAGAGAAAAAGTTAATATATAAGACCAGAGCTAAAACCTTCACAAACTATAAAGCAAGATTTAAAGATGAGTGTTTCAGAATGGTTGCTGGGAGACTGATTTATGGTACTCAGAAATGGGAAAACGCCACAAGTTCCAGAAACCAATACACACGTCACTCAGTTACTGAGAGTAACGTGTGTTAAACAAGCACAACCTGAAGTGGCTGAATGACAAATTAGCACCCTCAACTTAAAGGATGTAAAGGTAGGAAGGAGATGTAAATGCTGTAGCTGAACAGTATCCTCTAAGAATATTCCAGAGCTCTCTGCATTGATTTGAATGGCTGGTGAGTTCAGTTACAGATGACACACACCAGCTAAATGACGAGCTGATAAAGTTTGTCAACTATGGAGCATAGAATTCTTTTCCTCGGTCATGGAGTCTTACCTGAAAAGGGGCCTTTAGAACTCAATTTAGTCCAACTCTTCTGAGCATTATTCTTAGTAACTCTACCAAGAAACCAGACATCAGCCAAAAGTAAATGTTTCAAAGTTATAGTAGAGTCTCTTCAGAATCCTACATTGAGTCTGCTGACTCTCAGTTTACATAATCCTAATCAGAAATTCTTCTAGGTTTAATAGATTATAGGCAGAAACATAGGGACGTGCTGCCTGAGGAGTATCTACCAACAGCAGAAGCACGCCTCCCTGATGAGGAGAATGAGCTGAAAAAGGGTATCAAGCAGGAGGTACTCTGCACCTCCTCCTGGAGAGAGCGCCCCAGCACTGAGCGAAACTGATGATAATGTTATATAAACACATGTATAAACGTGATCCCCCAAACAGTGATTTCAGGTACATTCCTTTGAGGAAGCAGGGATAAAGCTCAGGAAGAAAACAATCAGGAACTTTAGTTACTTAATAAAGATGGATTCTGTTTTACAAAGACAGAATCTATCAGTACCATCATTTTCTAATTACATATTAAATGAGGTATTATTGTAGGTATGGGGGGGGGGAGTTTGCAACCAAAGTGAGCTCTAGGAGAAAAATTATGTGATACCCAATTTAAAAGAGCATTGAATCAAATATGACCTCTTTTTAAAAGGGTCCCTTGTGTACAATATTTGATCAAAAACATGGGCCTCCTAATACATCTCCGTTTTGTTTCCAGGTATCGTGATTTCCGCTACCCACCTGGACACCCGCAGGAGTATAAACACAACATCTACTACTGGCACGTGATTGCAGCCAAGCTGGCTTTTATCATCGTCATGGAGGTAGGAAAATGCACTAGGAAATAGTTTATAAGGCCGGATGTTTGCAGACCTTCTACTAACTGTGTTGCCAACTCTGTACTTAAAATGTGTGATATTTTCTTCCTTATCACTCGCTATCAACTGTTTTAGATTAAATATTAAAGACGTTTGACCGAGAACATTTATAATGTTCTCATTAATTAAATGAAATTGGTTATCTGCTTTCAAAGTTAAAACACACATTATGTATAATTCAGTATTAACTATGTGCCTCTTAAAAATGTGGGGCCTTGGGCAGCGTGTTGGGCCACGAAAATGCTTATTCAAGGTAGATATGATGGTATCTCTGCCCATGAGGAACTTTTATTGCTGTGATAGTTTATTTGTATTATTTTCTTTTATTGCATTTTCATAATAAACCAACTTCTGACAATAGTTTACTATATCCCTAAAATTGACCATCTGAAAAAATAACTAAGGGAGCTGTGAATTTGCAATCAGTCTAGCCAAGTCTACTTGTAATTCCCCATGATTAACTACTACCAAATTATATGGCCTGAGAAGTTACTTGTTTGGTGTGGTAACTTAGGGGCCAAAACAAATAAGGAGTTTTTTCATGCAACAGAATTCACTAGAAGAAGGTGTTTGCCCCGAATCCATACTGGTCCACTGATAGAAGGAACATGTCTGATGGTCTAGGTGTCGTTCATAGCCTGTGGCTGCTGCAATTCCAGATAACACATTGACATTCAAGGCAGGAAGAAGGGTGATGCTAGCCATATCAGGTCCTTTTTGTCAGGAAAGAATGCTTTGCCAGAAGCCCTCCCAACAGACTTCTACCTACATATCACTGGGTAGGACTAGAACACTCGGTTCCTCCTAGCAGCAGTGGGGCTGAGATGGGAGGTGTTTCAATGCTCTGAATAAAATCAGATCAGTTAGCAAGGAAGAAGGGGTGTAGGCTTCTGGCTTTGATACTACTAGTATTTTTTTCTTTTTAGTTTACCATCATAAAGTACGATCTCTAATATATCAGCAAGTAAGTCACTTGTGTCTATTCAGATATGCAGTTGATAAAGGGATTGGACTTCTGCTTTTGATATTATGGCGGTCTAGATCCTGTAAGTGGCCATCTCACTACAAAACATGTAGAACCAGCTGAAACATGATTCCTCTGGTACTTCAGAGCTCACTGGAAGAGAAGAGAATTAAATCTACAAAGGTGGGGGGGGGTGGTTCATAAAGCAAGAAACCCAGAAAGAAGCTACATTGGTTTTAGAGTAGAAGGAAGGATTCTCTGGAGAAAAGTGTCCTCAATCAAAGATTAACAGTGAAATGGGAAATGTTATTTTATTTAATTAATTTTTTTTCTTTTCTTGAGTCTCTCTGGATAGAGTGCCATGGCATCATAGCTCACAGCAACCTCAAACTTCAGGGTTTGAGCAATCCTCTTGCCTGGGCCTCCTTAGTAGCTGAGACAACAGGTGCCTGCCACAATAGCTGGCTCGTTTTTCTATTTTTTTTTTTTTTTTTAATTAGTGACAGGGTCTTGCTATTGCTCAGGCTAGTCTCAAACTCCTGAGCTCAAGCAAGCCACCCGCCTTAGCCTCCCAGAGTATTAGGATTACAGATGTGAGCAACCGCACCCAGCTGAAAGGGGAAATTTTAGAAAAGAGATTCAGCAGGAAAAAGAAACAACTGATATGAATGCTTCATAACTTTAAAAGGTTGAGTTATCAACTAAGGAATATAAGTTAACTGTATATGAAAATGTTTAAACAGGCTCAGCGCCCATAGCTCAGTGGTTAGGGTGCCAGCCACATACACCAGGGCTGAGGGGTTTGAACTCAGCCTGGGCCTGCTAAAAACAACAATGACAACTATAACAACAACAAAAAAATAGCAGGGCATTGTGGCAGGTGCCTGTAGTCCCAGCTACTTGGGAGGCTGAGGCAAGAGAATCCCTTCAGCCCAAGAGTTTGAGGTTGCTGTGAGCTGTGATGCCATGGTACTCCACCGAGGGTGATATAGTGAGACTATCTCAAAAAAAAAATTTAAACAAAGGGTAGAGTAAAAAATGAACTAACAATAAGAAACTATAAGGCATAAGATCTGACAATTAAGTATATGAACTCATCCTAGAAAAAGTGCTCCATACCTCACTGCTCAATGTCAACTACAGTCCCCTTCGAAGTGCTCCCTTTGGCCATCCGCTGACCATACTGATATTCAACAATGAGGTATGTAGCACTTTTTCTAGGATGAGTTTGCAAATTTAATTGTCAGACCTCATAGGACAACAGCTCTGATGGCCATTGCAGAAAAAGAATTCCAAAATTGCTTTGAAGGCTAGACTAGGCACTGGTGTTGGAAGTCAAATCCTCCCAAGGGGAATGCTTCGAAGGTGACCATATTCAGCAGTGAGGTAGGTAGCACTTTCTCTAAGATGAGCTCATGAACTAACAGTCTCATACCAATGGCAGTCTCAGGGACTGACCCTCACCAGTGTTTTCAGGTGTTTGGTTGTCCTGAATAAACAAATATACAGGGGAAAAAACCATCAGTGGGGTCACCCCCTGACCTCCCCTTGGAAGGTGACTTCATTGTCCGACCTCGTCCGTGTAGAATGACCACTGCCTCGTCCACACACACTGCCCTAATGACAAGCAGAAATGAATGGATGGAGCTTTGGGTTCCCTTCTGTTTCTTTGTGACTGGCATTTTTCTTCTTCTCTCCTGCAGCATGTCATCTACTCTGTGAAGTTTATCATTTCCTATGCCATTCCAGACGTATCAAAACTCACAAAGAGCAAGATCAAGAGAGAGAAATACCTAACCCAGAAGCTTCTGCACGAGAGTCACCTCAAAGATATTACAAAAAACATGGGAGTGATCGCTGAGAGGATGATAGAAGCGGTAGATAACAATTTACGGCCAAAATTAGAGTAAGAGCTTTATGTTCTGAGAAGCACTTTAAGGAATTTAGCTCTGTCAAAATATATTATGAATCACTAATGAGAATGTTTAAGTTAAATCATTTCAGCAAATGTGGGTCTTAACTATTGCCATTTCCATGCAGATAATTTTTCAGTTTCAGCCAACGATGCAGGAACTGGGAAGATGTAAAACTTAGATCAAGAAGGGCATAAAACTAATTGCCCGGAAATCCTAAAATGTTACCTTTTTTTTTTTTGAGAAATTGGAATTTTAGGAACACAGAAAAAGCCTCTTCGTGTGCTCAAAAACCACGTCTTCTACAGCAGAATGGATTCTTTGATATTTTTCTCCTGTTTGATTACTTTCACTTCTTTCTGTTGTCAGGCACGTGACCTTTATTTGTAGGCAGTGTTCCCATTTCTTCAGTTTGCCAGGTCTGTTTCCGAGTTATTTATTCCTTACACTACCATCTCTGAAGACGAGACAAAGTCCCACACTAACAGCTTTCACGTGATTGAAAATCGCGAACTTGGAATTCAGTTTGTGTGCTGCCGCTGCGGGACAGATAGACTCAAGAATTCACAATATTTAGGTGTATTATCGTATCCCCCCCAAAGGGAACCTCATTTCCTCAGACAGAAAGATTTCAGTCTTCTTTTGGGCCTGTCTTTCCATCTCAAAGAAATACTCTTAGTGGATTAGAATGAAGCCAGCAAGGTCTTGAAGCATATTTGTCCTAATCGACAGTGACACCTTTTATCTTCCAGGAGCACTCCTAGAACACTCTGTGCCTAATCAGTGTTGACTGCTTTGCAGATCTCAAGGGAATAAGATGACAAGAGTAGGGAAGGTTACAGATTCAAATAGAACTGTAACTCACGTTGATCTGGATAATTAACTTATCTCTTCTAAAGACATGTCATTTCTTGGGGGGAATATAATATCCCATGGTTTAAATACACTTCTTATCAACATAATAGTCTGGAAAAGATAAGTCTAATTCCCCACCAGATGACTCTGATTCATTAGAGACAGGAGGTACATTATTACACATCACCAAGCGCCTTCGTGAACAGCTCACTACATAGCCATGGTGGCCTGACGATACCGTCCACGGTCAGGAACAGCACGTGCCCTGACTAGGAGCCACGCTAATCCTGGTCCTGGTGTGGGGAGTGCCTTTCATCAGGGAGTCCCCAGGACTGGGCTTATTTTTATACACCCCAGTGGTCAACATACCAAAGCTGCTGCCATAGTGAATGTGGCTTCCCAGCACCCTCCACCCTCTTATTGTAGGCCCAGTGACTCATCTGTAACTGTAGGAGATTACACAAGAGATAGGAGTAGATCCAGACAATTTCTAATCAAGAAAAGAGACTCTGCATTTGACTTGAGCATCCAGCCTCTTTAAGGCCAAGCAGGCAGTTGTGGGTAATAAAGGGAAATGGTTTGGCCACAAAGTGTGCCAGTCTCTGGAGACTACTTCCTGCTGAACTCCCACCCCATCACACAGACCCAGCCCCCTGAGTTTTCTCAGCCGGGCCGTCTACTCTGCTTGACTACCCCTAACCGTCAGGCCCTCAGAGAGCTCTGGAGAAGACACGGAGCCAGCACTTCTCCCGTGACTGGTGACAGTTGGTGCTGGGTGCAGGATGAGGAACAGGAGGTGACTGGTGTCCCGTTCATGGTGGACGGGCCTCCTCCTGCTGGGATGCCTCCACTGCTCAGGTGCCAGAGGAGCCTACCTGGCAGCATCCCGGCAGCTGAGGAAAGAGAAACACACTTCAGTGATAGATTTTAGAGGCTCGTTCAAGTAGCTTAACTCTAGACCACGGTTTTAAATGCCTGCCATGAATGTCTTAAAAAAACAACCCAATATTTATATAGGATTCATCAAAGCAGTATTTCTGGGTTTTTGAATTGTCCCAGTGGACGAGGGACAACATTTTGCTATCTTTCTTAATCATGTTGACAATGCAGCCCGAGAGTGTTCAAGGCAGGCCACATAAGGTCTGCCTGCTCTAGGATGGAGAGTGGACTTCTTCCCACTGGAGGAAGCTGGTTTTCGTTCAGCTCAGCCGGGCAGGAGTGCCACCATTCCTCTCCTCACTCCCCTGTGATACTGCCCCTGGAAGGGGGGTCCTTCCTCTCTGTTACCTCTTTTCTCTAAAGTATGTGACTATCTCCTAGTGTTTGAATTTGGCGATTAATCACTGTTGATGTCAGCATGGGAAAGGAAACATTTTTACCTTATTTCTTTGTGTACACGACAGAACTGCAAAACAAACGTGCATTTTATGTTTTCATGGCCCCAGTGGAGAGAATCCTCTTCTAGTTTAAAATGTACTGCTCTGGACAGGAGAGAAAACAACTCTACATTTTTAAGGGCAGCAAATGTGATGTCTGACAATGCTAAGATATCCACAAGAGGAAAGTCGTCGGGGAGCCCCAGGGTCACTCATAGTGTGAGTCTGTTAGTGGGAACAGGCAGCACCCTGGGAAATCTATGGGCGTGGCAGTGGACCCACGAAGGGAGACTCTGACCCTCAACCTGTCCAGTGTTAACCACTAAAGAAATTTTAGCTTTATATCCTTTTGTAATGCCTGTGAATTTCAACGAATTGAAACATCAGACCAAATACTCAGGGGATTTTTCTTTAAACGTCCCTCAGATATTTCACTTCTGTCATTAGAAAGGGAAAGCGATCATTTGGGGTTTAAAACTAAACAAGGCCATCTTGTATACAGTCACCAAAGCCTTCCCTTTTTAATGCATGTGTGTCTTGAATTTCATAAAACATTAATTCACAATAGGGGTCGGTCAGAATGTGCTCTTTCGTTGAAACACTTCTTGTGCCATTTTCTTATGTTCATCTTATAAGATGTGTGAGAAGTTAAAATGTATGAGCAGCTCCAGAAAAGTAGAACTGAAATATTCATGATGCTTTTCATACATTGTAGCATAAGATGTAAAGTTTGTAATTAGTGTCTGTTAATTTCTGTGCATTTTAATATTCTTTTATAATTATGAGCATTTTAATAAATTCATTTTTACAAACAATACTGTGGCATACTCTGTATGTATTGTCTTCATGTTTTTAAGGACAAAAACAAATACATTATCTATTTACTGGTGACCAATTATGTATCACTTAGATAATAAATGTGCACACTTTTATGTAAATGAAATGTATCATTTTATGTACAATAGGCACCACTTTGGAACATGATTTTTCTGGGAAAAAAATGGGGAGGGGGTTTCAGCCAAGGCCACTGCATGCGATTGTTGGGACTGAGCCCCGCACCAGGCACTGAGTGTGGAAGTCCGGTAGAAGCTGATGACCAGCCCAGCATGCCAGGTGCCCTAAGGGTGGACAGGGGCTGGGAGGAAAAGGTGCTTTTCTCTAATCACATGAAGATGTCTTCCACATGTTAAATCAGAATTGCAGGGAACAGTGTCACCCAGAAAAGACAAATCTCTGTAAGTATCAGAAAGTCTCCATAAAGACTGCCAGTGGGCCTGGCTGCAGAAAGGGGAATTAGGGATAAAGCATAATCTCATTACAAAAATCAACCTTTCCTTTAGCCTGAGAATTGTATAGTCTAGATTTTGCTCATTCCATCCTTTGACTTTCTTGAGCAGCTTAAATCTCAACAGGTTTACGATAAAACTGTAAGTTAAATATATTCCATAACTGGGCCAACAGGAAAAAGCCTTGTCTGATCACTAAATGATACATTTGGGACTAAGTCTTATAGTCTTGTTCTTCTCCTTCCAGCACTATAAGCCCAGGAAAGGGGCAATTGGAAGTTCATCTCGGAAGCAAAGTACCCCCTTCTCATTTGGGGGGGGGGGGTGGTGATGTTATTTATCTGACAACCAACAGGCACTGGGCCAAATGTTTTCTTATACATTATCTCACTGTCAACATAACTTTCTTGCTGAGACTTGAGCTTGATTTTTAAGGGATTATAAAATAAGTACGTGATTATAAAAGAAATACAATCTGTTATTTCCAAATCCCTAGCTGTACAAAAAGGCTGTGCAGGAAAACACCAGGTCTAGCTCCCTCCCCAGAGGTCCCAGTACATGTGAGTTGGGGCCATCAGGCAGACTTATGTCCAAAAGGAACTTCAGAAATCTGCTTTGGATTTTTAAAAAACGCATTGACTATATTAAGGCTGCAGATCAGATAGCTAGTTATTTCTTTTAGCTCAGCCCAAATCCTATTCATAAATCTAGCAAATTTTACTAGTCACTTTTTCTAAGCCTTTTGAATAATGTTTGGCTCCACTTGCAAATTTAATGAAATATGTTAAAATATCTAATAGCATTTATAAATTTAGTGTATTCCATTTCCTTTGTAAATATTCCAATTATATGGCCAGTAGTGACCGACAGGATGCAACTGGTGAAATTCTTACTTCTCTTGCTGCTGTCTCTCTAGAAGACACCATTCCTCTCCTCACCCTTCACTAGTGGGAGACAATATACAAATAGACAATGGCCAGACATTATATAAAAATAGAACTCTGGCCCCAACCTGCAGCAACCTGCCCAGGAAACCAACGTATTATGCAGAATAATCAGCCCAATAAGTCAACCAGTATCTCTAGGGACAGTCCAGGAAGCTGAACAATAAGTAACAATTGATCCAGTATGGCCAAGACCTGATAAATAACTCACAGCTTCCCTAATTTGGGTTTATGCTTATACCTTGGATCACCAGAGACAATCATTCAAAGGAGAGAAAATCTCTCAGGAAACTCCATCAACCAATAGAAGATTCCCCATCCTTCATCCCTATGTGGCTGTAAATACTCCATTCTGGTTGCTCCCTCAAAATACTGAAAAACAGACACATAAGGAACAGCTCCCAGGAAATTGTTAAAATTGCCCTTTTCATGGAGGAGGGGAGGGCAAATACGACCCCAGGAGCTCCTACGGGAGCCCAGAGAGAACCTATCACATTAATGTTCACTCGTAGTTAATAATGAAGCAGACTGATGTATTCTTGAGACCTCCTCTTCAATTTCTTTCATAAGGATAAATCATGTCATTACTTTTCCTTGTTTCAATCTAGGAAATGGCACCGAAAGCCTAGAATAAAACTTTTCCCAGACGGTATTCTTCCATGTCAGTTTTTGAAGCTCTATTACCTGTTCAGTGCAAACAGTGGAATTCCTAATACTTGATCATAGCACTCAACATTGTAAGAGGAATGGGTTCCCAATGTCTCCAGCACTCTCTGAGTTTTTGTTCATCCCTTTGCAGTTTTCCAGCCTGGATAATATCACAATATCGTTTTTTTCTAAATGTTGTCTCAGCATCTCCATTTATTCCTAGGCACCTAATTGCTTAATATTAGCTCCCTTGCTTTCTGCCAGCTGCTGCCATAAGAGTAGGAAAGACAGCTTCCCAATTGTCCTGCTCACAAACCACCCCACAGTGCTGCCCTGGATGCCCAGGCAGTTACAAACATACAGTCCTCCAATCATTTTCTTAGCAACTCTGACCTGCTGGACCAGCCAAACTAAACTGAATCTGTGTCAGCTGTGAGCCAGCACCTGGGCAAATGTACTCCCTTCCCTTTCCACCCACTAGCCTATTATAAGCGATGAGAGAAGGAGCAGAAACTTTGCCTGGGGTAAAAAGAGGATTTTAATATACTGATGTAAGCATCTTGAGAATACAGTTGTCTTCACCAAAAATACATCATGTTTGAATTAGGGTCGACAAGTACATTTAGAGTGTAACAGAAAGTCACTGGAAAAAAAATGAGGGCAATGGTTGGATAGAAAACAGCATTGATGCCAACCCTCCTCAAACCTTTCCAAAAAACTGAAGAGGAAGGAACGCTTCCAAACTCATAGATGCCAGAATAACCCTGATACCAAATCCAAAGAACTACGAGAAAAGAAAACTAGAGACTAATATCCTTAATGAATATGGATGAAAAATCCTCAAGAAAATACTAGCGAACAGAATTCAGCAGCACATTAAAAGGATCATACATCATGATCAAGTGGGATTTACTCCTGGAATACAAAAGAAGTCTCAACATATGAAAATCAATCAGTATAATACAACCCATTAACAAAATGAAGGCCAGTGCTCCTTCAATTGATGTAGAAAAAGCATTTGACAATTCAACACCGTTTTATGATAAAAATACAAACTAGGAATAGAAGGAAACTACCTCAGCATAATAAAGATTATATGTTAAAAACCTTCAGCTACATCATAGCCTAGGACAAAACACTAAAAGCCTTTCCTCTAAGTTCAGGAACAAGACAGGATGCTCACTTTGGCCCTTTTATTCAACACGGTACTCAACATCCTAGGAGAGCAATTAGGCAAGAAAAAGAAAGAAAAGACATCCAAGTTGGAAAGAAAAATGTCAAATTATCTCTGTTCACAGGCAATATAATCTTATATGTGGAAAACCCCGAGGATTCTACATGCACCCCCAAAAGCTGTTAGAACTAATAAATTTCAGCAAAATTTCAGGATACAAAATCAAAACATAAAAATCAGGTGTATTTCTACACATGGACAATGAATAATCCAAAACAGAATTAACAACTTCACTTATAATAGCATCAAAAAGAATAAAATACTTCAGGATGAACGCAACTGGAAGGCACAATATTTTTACACCGTAAAACTATAAAATTGTTGCTAAACTAAAGAAGACACCAATAAATGGAAAGCCATCTCCTGCTCATGAATTTAAAGACTTATTATTGTAAAGATGTCACTATTGCCCAGAGTAATCTATAAATACAATGTAACTCCTATCAAAATCTCAGTGATGTTTTCCAGAAATGGAAAAATCCACCCTAAAATTCAGATGGAATTCCAGTAGGCCCCAAATAGTCAAGACAATCTTAAGGAAGAACAAACTCAAAGGTCTCATACTTCCTGATTTCAAAAATTATGACCCATACAAACCTAATCAAAACAGACATGTGGACTAACGGAATAGAGGGAGCCAGAAATAAACCCTCACACAAGGAGGGTTTTCAAATGATTTTCAACAAGGAGCCAATTCCCCATTCATTGGTGGGCACTGCAGTCTTTCCAACAAATAATGCTAAGAAAACTGGATACCTAAAGGTAGAAGAATGAAGCTGCACCCTTCCACAACAACATATACAACAATGAACTCGGAGTGCCAAGAGCTGGACTTTTTCTAGTTTATTTGTCTACTCAAGATGTATCCCTTGAGATCCTGGCTTTATAGGAGTTTCTGGGTTCCAACCCTGTGTGGATCTAGAGCCCCTTCTCCTGCCTCCTGTTCAGCCACTAAAAGGAAGGCCTCTTGGTTATTAAAATCAACAAATGTCCCTTGGAAGCCAGTGCTCTGGGGTGAACTTACCCCACAATTTTCCCATTCCCTCTTTGTTTTGGGCCTCTGACTATATTTCTCTTATATTATTACGACTTCAGTTATGTGTTTAAAGGATGTTTATTTTATCCAGCATTCCTAGGAGTTTTGTATTAGGTGGATTTTCAGGACATTTATTCTGCCATATAGCCAAAAAAAGAGGCCCATATGTTACTGTCAAAACAAGGGGGAAAAAATAAATAAAGTTTTCTTCCTTAGAAAATGAAGCACCGGCTCAGGGCCCTTAGCTCAGCAGTTAGGGCACCAGCCACATACATTAGGGCTGGTGGGTTTGAGCCCGGCCTGGGCCTGCCAAACAACAATGACAACTACAATCAAAAAATAGCCGGGCATTGTGGCGGGCACCTGTAGTCCCAGCTACTTGGGAGGCTGAGGCAAGAGGATCACTTAAACCCAAGAGTTTGAGGTTGCTGTGACACCATGGCAATCTACCAAGGGTGAGATAGTGAGACTATATCTCAAAAAAAAAAAAAAAAGAGAGAAAGAATGAAAAGAAAATGAAGCATGGAAGAAGAGCAGACCAGTGTCCACTATTGTAAAATCTTTCTTTATCAGACATAGAATTCGTGTGTTCGCTTCTGTTATGTCTGTATTCCCAGGTTGCTCTGGCAGTAAACTATCTGAAATTAGGTGGGTGTGGGCTCCTAAG